TTTCCTCCCCTTCAACTCCTTCTCTCCCTCCTCCTTCTCCTTTTCTTCGTGTTTTCTCCTCCTTCAACTCCTTCTCTCCCTCCTCCTTTCCTCCCCCTTCTCCTCCTTCAACTCCTTCTCTCCTTCTCCTTTCCTCCCCCTTCTCCTCCTTCAACTCCTTCTCTCCCTCCTCCTTCTCCTTTCCTCCCCCTTCTCCCTCTTCTCTCCCTCCTCCTCATCCTTTCCTCCTCTTTCTCCTCCTTCTCCTTAAACTCCTCCCTCTCTTCCCTCTCGTCCAGCCGGCGGATGGATTCAGGAATGAGGATCCGGTCGTCTGAGCGTGTGAGTGCGGACACTTCACGACCGAACACCGGGATTTCTCCTCCCGCGTTCCGTTACCGAGCCGACGTGCGGTGAGTTCACGAGCTCCGGAGAGTCATCAAATTAGTCGGTGATCGATCGGTTATCGGCACAGTGGCTGTAAGAAAACTTCTTGCTAGGAAGTTATCAGCTTGTTTGCTAACTTTCTGGGCACTAGCTAAAGTGTTTCCGCCGTTAGCGCCTCCGACGGTCCGTTTGACCCACAAACTGTCCGTTAAGTTGAGTCATTTATGAACGTGTCACTGTAACCGGGGATTTACGGGGATTAACGGGAGCCGTTTGGGCCTCAACGGTAGTTGTTATAGGAACCTGCGGGGCGCTAACTTCAGTCTGACGTTCGAACACACAAGGGATTAGCTCGATGCTAACGTTAAGCATCCACTGCTCCTTTTATTAACGCTAACGAGCTCATCCGTTCACATTATTATCTCCTGATCATCACAGCACTTTAGCTGTTATTGATCAGTATTTTCTATTTATTTATTTATTAATCTGTGGTTTTGCTCTGTGATCAAAAAAATGAAACCAGCTTTAAAAATATGAATTATGAATTATTTAATAAACCATAATCTATAACATTGTACAAGTATAAACTATGTTTGCAGGATATGGAGTAAAACCCTATTTGATCGGGGTGCCGCGGCTCAGGAATCCTCTTTTGTTCCCACAGGTGAGATAAACTGCCCCGCCCCCCCCGCAGGTGTTGGTCTTCCCAATTGGACACCCGCTGCGCTGTAAATCCGACATGGTGCGACATGGTTTGCATTGGGAGGCCCCCCCCCCCCCTCCTGGCTGTGTAACCGGAGCTCCTAAAGTGACCTCGATGTCCCGCTGAGCTTCGCCATCAGCAGGTATGGAAGGTGGAGGAAAGCCACCGTAGTCACAGTCAGTCAAGCAGTCAGATACAAATGGCATTTCCCCCCAGTGGCGTCATGGCGTCCCGGCTGCTCTACCGTCTGAAGCGCTCGTTGTTTAAAGATGGTCAAGGGGCGGGACCTGAACAGGAGTCCGCGTGCGGACAGGAAGTGGAGGACGGCTGGGAGGCAGAACTTGAAGAGGAGGAGGAGGAACGGGTGACCGATCGGTTGGGCGGGACGCTGTCCTTCCACGCTGGAGGAGGCGAAGGAGTTGAGGACGGGAGCGAGGAGCTGGACAGCGATTCTGACTACCTGGGAGAGTCGATGGAGGAGGGGCTTAGCAGCACAGGTGGGATTTACGCGTGGGTTCAGATTAGCTTCTTCTTCCTGTTTGGATGCCGGTTGGATGTGGTTGCGCTAGCTAGCTTGTTAGTACTTCTCTTTGAGGGAAGGTTGGTTGAGGCCTCAGTGAGCAACGCACCTGGAAGCTCGAGCTACGATGCTACGAGCTAATGTTAACAAAACATGACGCTGCCGCCACACCGAACGCCGGCATGTTAACGATGACCTCTGAATCCCTGTACCCCCGCAGACACCAGTCCGGTGGGCGTGTCCCCGGTGGGCGTGTCCCCGGTGGCCCCTCCCACGTCCTTCCTGCTGACTCGGCAGCTTCAGGAGAGCTGGAGGACCCTGCGTGGACTCGGCGGAGGAAGCCCCGCCTCCACCGGGAGGCAGCCGACAGACGACTTGCTGTTTGAGGTGACGGACGCCAGTGTGGTGCAGGACGCCTCCTCTAAATACGTGGTGAGTTCAAAGGGGGGGGGGGGTACTTTATCTAACTCATTTAAAATCCTGCCCCAAATAAAACGTCTCCTTTTAATCAGATTCTGTTAAAAACATTAAATTCTGAGCTCCTCAGAAAAACTACGACGGCACCACTGATTCATCTGAGACCAACAGTCATGTGACCATTAATCAGATGCTTTTTACTTTCGTCAAATGAAACCGCAAGTATTTGTTCTGCCTGTTGAGTTACAAACAGACTACAATTCGATTAGAACCATAAATGATCCGTCAAGTCGTTGAAGGAACAAACACAATGGAGATAAAAGTATTGATATATATTTACAATATGTAAGATGATGAAGTAGAGTCTGAATGAACCCCTGGATCCTCCCTGAGTCGCCTCCGTCTTCCTGCAGCTCTACACCATCCACGTCGTCCAGTCCGCCGGCAGCGACAAGACGCCGGCTGTCATCACCTGCCGCTACTCCGACTTCCAGCGGCTTCACGCCGCGCTGCGCCGCGACCACGGAGATCAGATGGGGCGCGTCTGCTTCCCGCGTGAGTAGAACGCCGTCTCCCCTCGCCCACCCCTGAGAGCCTCGCCAGTAAAAGCCGCCTCTCGTGCGTGCAGGAAAGAAGCTGCGCAGGAACTACACGGCGGAGACAATCGGCAAGCGGAGCCGGGCGTTTGAGCAGTACCTGTCTCACCTGTGCTCCCTGTCGGGCCCGCGGGGGGCGCCCTGCGTCCGACACTTCTTCTACCTGGCCGACCTGCAGGCCGGACAGCTGCTCATCAGGTGGGTGGCGCGCCGCTCATATCGACCCCTTCTGCGGGAATCTAAACAGGAGGTTGACGGTTGTGTAGCAACGTCCCGCCCCTGCCTGGATTTGATTTGTTTTGGAAGCAACCAGCCGGAAACATGTATTTCAAAGCTTCACGTGTTGCAGCTTATTGGCATGTTTAAAGCCTCGTGACCTTTCTTAAGTTCCCTTAAGTGCCCAATAAATAAAAGCACTGATTAATATTCAGGGTCCTGTATGCTGCAGGTAATAGACAATCAGTAACTCAATTAGAAAGAAAAGTTCACGTAACGAGGCATTAAGAGACTCAACTCACCCTTTCACCGTACTTTACTTATTTTACTGTATAACAATTAACAATTAAAGAGTTGATAAGAATTTAAGAGTTTGAATTGAAGACCACATCTGCTTCTTTAAAGTCGAAGCCTGTGTGTTAAAGCTGCATTCTGTGCAGTGACCAGCAGGGGGCGACTCCTCTGCTCCCATAGACGTCTATGAGGAAATGACTCTACTTCTCTGTAGTGACCAGCAGGGGGCGACTCCTCTGCTCCCATAGACGTCTATGAGGAAATGACTCTACTTCTCTGTAGTGACCAGCAGGGGGCGACTCCTCTGCTCCCATAGACGTCTATGAGGAAATGACTCTACTTCTCTGTAGTGACCAGCAGGGGGCGACTCCTCTGCTCCCATAGACGTCTATGAGGAAATGACTCTACTTCTCTCTTGATTTATTCCCTCAGTAAACATTGTAAACATGAGTTTATGTCTCAGTCTCTAGTTTCAAGTCTTCAATACAGCATGATGTTCTTCATTTAGTGACTGATGGTCCATTTAGTGTCAAACAGACCATAAAGCAGGGGACGCTTTAGGGCGGGGCTACACGCTGATTGACGGGTGTCCACCAGAGACATATACACCGTCTCCATGTCGTCCTCAGTGCTTAGATGGTGACTAAGTTAAGAGGAGACTAGTAACATCAGTCAGGATAACCGTCACTATTCCAGCATGGAAACGTTTTGTGTTCTTTCGTTGAGGGTGGGACGTTTCCAGGAGGCTTTGGGTCCGCTGCTCAACGCCAAGAGGCTGCAAGAGAAACTGGGCTGGGCAACTTACTATGACCGTCGTGCTCCGCCCCCTGCCTCCTCCCATTGGCTCTTCACCCTGGTGGGTCTGTTGAGCTGCTTTCAGGAAGTGGACCAGCTGGAGGAAGCTCGAGATCATTGTGACGACGCCCTCCGCGTCTTGAGCCCTGAGGCGGATGACGGCCCCCCCCCACTCCGAGACAAGCCCCTCCCACAGACTGCCAGGCCACACCCCCTCCTGTTGCCGTTGTTACGGGTTGTGGTTCGGCTGTCGTGGCAGACGGGGAAGGACAAGCGGCAGTGGGAGGAGCTTCTGCAGAAGCTGGAGGAGCAGAGGGCGGGGCTAGTAGACAATCATCCAACCATTAAAGAGTTCCTGGTCAAACACAACCTGGAGGAGAGCGAGGGGGAGGGGTAACAACAACAACAACAACAACACAAACTGCAGGGGATAATCACTACGCTGCCGCACGAGATTCAGATTCAACTACGTTGAATGTTTGGGGAAAGAAATTGTAATTTGTTGTTGTGAGCAAAAACTTGTGACAGGAGAAGGTTAGATATATCAGATAATAGAATGGGGTCTCTTTATTTTCATGATGATTTGAGAAAGAAGCCATAACATTCCCACAAAGTGCTGAAAGTAAGCTGAATCAATTCAAGAGAAAAAACATTTATTTCATAGAAAAAGTCCTATTTTGAATTCCAACGTATATCCCACAAATATTTATATACATATATGTTGTTGAGTGGAGGTAAAACTACGATCATTCTTGTATTCAATCACACTCAAAAAGCCTTTAAGCAGCTCTGTGACGTTCAGGTTTCTCTTCCTTCAGTCGTCCTAGAAAACAAACAAAAAGCCCCGGAGACGCATTCAAGTGATTAAACAGCTGTTGTGATGAGCCTAGTTAGGGCGGGGCTACGCGCTGATTGACAGGTCTTGGTCCGTACGTGGTGACTTTCGCTACACTGGTTGTAAAAAAGGAAGATGGCGTCCGTAATGCACTCGAGGTGTCACAACTTGTTGTGATAAAAACATTGGAGTCATGTGACGTTTACTTAACGTCAATAGTTGATTCACGTGAGACAGTTGTCATGAATTACAGCATCAAGCTCTGCCTGAGTATTTCTCTAATGTTTCTATTCACTGGTTGTAAAGTGTTATTTACATATTTAGATTTGAGGACCCTTTTAAGTCATCTTGCTGGATGTTGTGAACGCGTCGCCCGTGTGAAATATTGATCCGTGGAAGAGGCATTAAATCCGATGACATCATCCCTGTCTGGATTAGAACAGGGAACGATGTGGAATCGTTTTAAAAGGGATGAAGCACATGATTCATAAACCATGAATTACCTGGAATGTAATTCCGACGTGAAGCGTCTTTTACACACGTTTTGGGGGGAAAACTAGAAATGTTCCTTTTAAAGCCTCTTTGAAGTGTTTTCACTTCACCAATGATTTAAAAAAAGGGAAGTTTGGTTTCTTTTTTAAAGCTTCTTTGTAGCTCCCATTCCGACTAAAGCGGCTTCTCCTTTTCTATTGGAGACGCTTGTGTGTTCGGCTGCATTTGCACTGTGAACCAAACTTAAAGAGTTTTTAGTGTTGATTCGGCAGAACGTCCTCACTCAGAGAAACTAAAGTACTTTATGGAATAAATTCTGTTTCAAATCCCAGACTTCTCCTTCGTCGTTCCTCAGTGTTGGGCGGTGCCGATGGGTCATCTCCTTCCCGTTGCTATGGAGACGGGACAGAGCTGGTTGTTGCTGCTAAATCTAACCTGTCTAACCTTATATTACTAACCCATAGCATTATATTTTATTGTATTCCTCGTGCACTGTCTTGTACCGTCTGCTGTTGCGCATCAAGTCACGTTCCTTGTATGTGACATATGATGGTGATAAATGTTTCCTGATCGGGTGAACAGGTCCCGTTCATTAGGGCTCAATAATGACACCGCGTGACTCACTCTCAACCAATCAGAATACCCGTATTTCAACTGCATTAGCATATTTAAAACACAAACTGGACACTTGGGATCACGGTGGGTGAGTGGGGAGCGCGACCGTCCTCCAATCAGAGGGTTGGCGGTTTGATCCCAGGCCCGCCCAACCCGCTTGTCCATGTGTCCTTGGGCAAGGCACTGAAGCCCATCGATGCTCCTGTAGCTGTGAGTGTTGGTTACTGGTGGCAGGTGGCTCTGTGTGTGCTCCTCCTGTCATCGGTGTGAACGGAATTGAGCGATCGGAAGACTAGAAAAGCTCAGCCGATTCACCACGTTGGGGTGGAACATGTTGGACTAGCGACTCTTCCTGCTGTCCCTGCACTTTACGTTCCGTCATTTAACGTGTTTCAAGCCAACAATCTCCTCACATTTAGTTGTCCCCTGCAGGGTAGATGTTGAGATGGAAGTAGCCTAGCAGCTAGCGTAGCCTGGCAGTGCATGCAGTGGTCCGTCTGCCGCTCACCCCCCTCCGGTTTGACACGTGGAGGAATTCCTCTGCTCAGTTCTGTCGGTTCCTCTCGGCTGCACCTTCCCGTCCCTCCTCCGTCTGCAGAGGGCGCCCTGCCTCAGCTCACGGCGCCGCTGACGCAGTTGCCGGACGTGCCGGTGGAGCAGCGCGCGGATCCACCGGGTGAAGCCCCCACCACGTCCGAAGCAGATCTCAGATCCCACATTGCTGCTGCTGTGAGCTGTAAATAAGGCCCGTCATCCTCCACAGAAACATCACCATGGCGACAAGGCCAAGAGCTGAGAGATCAGCTGACGTATAGACACCAGTTGCCACGGCAACTGTCGCGGAGGTAAGACTGAAGAGCCAACATGGCTGACGGAGGGAAACGTTCTTGTGAGTTTTCCAGCAAAAACAAACGGAAAACTCAACAAGTGGATTCAGGACTTTAAGCATCATTGAATGTGGTTTTCTACTCTAATGTGCCCTTCAAACACACCCCCCACGGTCTGTAGAGGGAACGTCACGAGCCGCCCTGAGAATCCTAGAACGAGTCAATAGCAACATTTAATGGACATTGTGACTCCGCAGGAAAAGCTGTTTAGTTATAAAACCTGCACATTATTTAACGGCTTAAAATGGACTAAATGAATGTAATTATTATTAATATATTATTTAATATATTATATATACATTTAGACCAAGGGCGGCACGGTGGCGTGGTGGTCAGCACTGTCGCCTCACAGGAAGAAGGTCCTGGGTTTGACTTTCTGTGTGCAGTCTGCATGTTCTCCCCGTGTCCCCGCGTGCAGATGGATGGACGGACATTTAGACCGTAAAGAAGGGGATGCTTTAGGGCGGGGCTACATGCTGATTGACAGGTCTCTAACAGAGAGGTATGCTGTCTCTACATCCTCCTCTGTCCAAATAGTCACTTCCTGTTTGATATTATAAAAACAAGATGGCTTACGTCACCATGACAACTACCACTTCTTATATTCATATTATAGATTATAAAGACGTTAAACAGTGAGCTTTAGGTTTGTAGTGTGTAAACAGATCTAGGCTAGCTCCTTCCTCTGGTTTCCAGTCTTTATGCTAAGCTAGGCTAACCTTGTCCAGGCACCAGTTCCCCACACACACACAAACGTGTGCTTCACAAAAATGTTCACATTCATGAAATGACAATAAACTACCACTTACACTGGTTTTCATCTGTTTAATTCAACAAATCAGGTTATAAACGGTTTCAGAGTATCGCTTGCTGTCAAAAAAATAAAACACTTTAGCACAAAATTAGCATTTCAGTTTTTGCCTAATCGGGAGTTCGCATGCTTTAGGTTTAGACTGCAATGATGAAGCTGATGCTAACAGACGTCTACGCGCGCTAGCATAGCAGGACGTTGGTGAGAAGCAGAAGTGATCTACCGAAGGCAAAGTATGAGGATAAAGAATATAAAAACTACCATGATTATAAAATATACCTTTACATCATACAGTGGTGCTTCTTCTAGATTGTCCACAAACCAAAGTTACACAATAATCTTTGGCCAAACTTCATATTTTTTCTCTTGCATCAATGCGCACACACACACACACACACACACACGGTTTAGAAAAACAACCCCTCAAATATATTCAACTTGGTGACATGAAAACCGTCTTCTGGATTTTCATTTCCACCTGAACCTCGACAGGATACGAAAATAAAAATACATTTTATCATATTTGACAAAATTGCATTGAACAGTTTCATTGTTTAACACGTTATTTCATCGTAACATTTAACCCTGATCAGCGAGTCACAGATTATTCCTCCCACATATGTTCTCAGCATGTTTGTGAGGAGACGAGAGATGTTTGTTTCCGGTGTGATGGACCTCAACTTCGAAATAAGAGACAACCTGAAGATCCGACATGCTGGATGAAAGTCTCATTTAGTGAGTAGAAGATGAAAGAGCTCCATCATTGGATTCTCTGCTGATGTTTTGTTTGCAACCAAAGAACAACTTTGTTTATTCCGTGACTTAATCGTGACCTCTATCTATTTGTCAAACTATTCCTTTAAAACCGCTGCTTTTGATTCCCTTTCAGACGCCTTTAATCAATAGAAACTCTTCACGCTGTGTGAGATGTAGGTATAAAGCACTCGGGAGACTGAAGATAAACTACGTACGTCGCGTGAGACAGAATTCAGAGCCCGTCTGACCACAAAGGTTCAACTTCCAGCTCTGGTTGCTGGTAGCTGAAGCTACCGGAGACGCTGCAGAGCTGCTGGGACTTATGGACACCCATTTTCCCACCGGTTTCTCCAGCGTTTGGGGTCATCGCTGCTGGTTTCAACCCTTCGGTGCTGAGTTTGTTGGTGTTTTTTCCCCCTGAGTACCAGTTGTTTTTTTAGTTCTTGATTTGTTCAAACTCGCTCACATTACATGACCGAGATCCTCAGTGAGCACCCAATCGACTCGTGTGAGACCATCTATTCATTTTTTGGACTTGTATTGCCTCCGGTCTCACTCGATGTACGTCCCCAACACAGATTACCTTTTCTAGCTAGTTAGCTGATAGGCTAAGTTAGCAATAAACGTGCCAAAATGAGACGTTATTTTACCTGATGTGAACCACCCGATGGTGGAGTGAGAACATCGGGATGCTAAACACATCGTAGCTCCACAGAGGCGTTGGAATGTCGTCTAATTGTGTAATGTTAACTATTTTTCTTTTAACTGGTTTAGGACAATGTGCACCTGATGGATCTTTCAAAGGGACAAACGTGTACCTGTGGCAGACTCCGCCCCCTCGTTACAGCATACTAGCGAGCAGGTATGTGAGCGAACCCCTAACCCTCCGAGCAAGTCTTCCTCCAATGGCTGCAACCACCTGAGCCTTTGACAAGTCCCAAGAGTCCCCACAGTGGTTGTGGGTTTGTGCTTTTGCCGTACAGTGAAACACAAACGTCTTCGGTGTGATGACGCTTCCCTCTTTTCACCACGCTGACCTGTCAGTGACTGAAGTGTGGGACCAGCGGTGACCAACGGGGGGAGCTGTCCTCCCCCCACACACTCAGACAGTAGTAACCGATAGCAGAGGGCTGGGACAGAGCTGACCGTCGCTCTCCACTCGTGTGCCGTGAGTCAGCAGCTCCTCCACCGTGGTCCAGTCGTCCAGCACCTTGCTGTTCCTCAGGCGGTTCTGCTTCATGTGGCTGAGCTCCAGCACCGTCTGAGAGGTCATGGACGCCTGGAGTCCCCCGGCCGGCTCCTCCCCGCCGCAGCCTCTCCGCTCTCTGTGTTGCCGCGACAACGCCAGGTGTCGCCTCCTCTCGGTGCGGCTCCAGTACCGCCCGGCCCACCGTCCCTCTTCCCCTTCCTCCTCGCCATTCCTCTCGCCGCCTCCTCGCACCTCCTCGTCCGTCGTGACCTCGCTGCGCTCCCTGGCCAGCCGGTAGGCTCGCGCCCTGAGCAGCTGGTTCCTGACCGACTTTTGATTGGACGCTCTGGAGCGGGGTGAAGGCGGGGAGCGGGTCGGGTTGTGTTGCGGCGCTCCCAGCGTGCTGTAGCAGGGCCCTGGGGAGCCTTTGGAGACGCGGGGGCGATTCCCCAGGGTCTGAAAGCCACGCCAGTCCGACGCGCCGCTGGATCCAGAGCCGGGACTCTTGGGAAGGGCGTCTTCCTCTCGGCTCCAGCTGTTTCTCGGTGCGTTCTGGTGACTGTTCAGACTGGTTCGGTCCATGCCCAGGTGACCGGGGTGCTGACAGTTACTGGGGTAACTGGCCCTGCTCCTCGGCCCCAGCTTGTTACTGGGTTTCCCCGGCCGGCCGTCTTGGAGGCCGCTTCGCAGGGCGTTGGGGTCGGCCGCGTTGGGGTGGCTGGCCCGGCGGGGACGCAGCCCTTCGCTCAGGTCCGTTAGTGTTCGACTCCGACCCGGGGCCTCAATCGTGCCTCCGCCTCCGTGTTGCTGCTCCAACCACAGCGCCCTCCGCTGACAGGGCTCGGTACGGCAACCTGTAGAACAGAGGGAAGAAATCCGCTGCTACAGTAAAAGTCAATATAGCCACTGAATAACCATCCAACTAGTGGACCACCTTGGTTCCAAAAGGTTTCCTCCCCCCGTGTCATCAGTGTCTCAACAAGGGACCTGTGGTACAAATTCCTTGTATGTCTATTTCCTGAAACTGTTTGCTTTAAACTTGTTAACTAAACTTTATAGTGATTGTGTTCCTTCATCCCCCTGAAGTCTCAACAACCTTCCAGGTCTCTTAAGATGTGTCATGTTGTTATCACGTTTCAGATGACCTCCCCTTGGCTTCTCCTCTGCTGTATAACTGAAACACCAGCAGGAAAGTAGGTCAGGTGGCTCTTGTTGCAGCCCAGGTGGAGATATTTTGAACAATAGACAACATAAAGGGGCTTAAATGTTTGCCTGGTAACACGTGAGTGGGACTCAAACTGCTGAGCTGCATCTTGTTGCACCTCACCTTTTGGATCCAGTGTGATCGTTGGTGTGAAGAGTATTCGTTTTCACGATGGCTTAATCTCCACCCTCAGGACTGCTGGATAAACAATCACGTTTCTGTAGAACATGTCACTAGAGAGCTTTACTCACCAGTGGAAGGGGAAGGAGGCGAGCGATGGCGAGGTAAGGTGGGACTCCTCTCGGCTCTGTGGAAGTGAACCGTCGTAGTGGTGCTGTTACCCACAGTGCAGCGGGACGCCTGCGGCGCCCCAGAGTGGATCATCGGAGTCTTCTCAGGGATGGACTCCAAATCCCAGCGTCCTCTCTGCTCCCGGGGGGAGCGAGGGTGGTGCGTCTGGCGGTGGGCGTGGCTCCCGGGAATCTTGTGAAGTCGGCGGTGCTCCCCGGTGCTGACGCTGTGGAACCCGGAGTCGCTGGGTTCGGAGGAGATCAGGGACTCTGAGGAGGAGGAGGAGCCCTGGGAGGAAGGGGTGTGCCCCGGCAGTGACGACATGGCGTCCGTCTCGCCCTCGGAGAGTGCCGTTTGGTGATGCGGGCTGTCAGGGCCGCAGCCCAGCCCGCTGTCCAGCTCGCTGAGGGGAAGGTACCCGAGGAAACGATCCGACCGCCAGGGGGGGTGATAGTCCGACTGGAGGGTTAGACGGCGTTACATTTAACAAAATGATGGCACAAAGAAGCAAGTGGTGCAGATCAAAGGAAACTACCGACCTCTCGGTGGAAATCCTTTGGCTCCATCTGTTCCGTGCTGTAGCAGCCGATCAGACAGCTCTCGGAGTTTGGCTGGTAGGGCAACATTTCTGGTCCCTGGAATATAGAATGAAACCCGTCAGAATCAATTAAAGTCACACGTAAATATGAAAGCAGACAAGAATAGAACCGATCACCTGGTAGTCCAGTCTGTCCAGGTGATCGAGGCTGTAGGAGACGCTGGGCAGGTAGTTGTCCCCCGGGTGCTGCTCATTGGACGATCTGGCCAGGTAGCCGTTGGTTGGGTAGGCATTGGGCGGCATCATCATGGCATCATCATTGGAGTACAGGTCGGGCGACGCGGTCATGTGACCATAATAAGATCTGCAAAGGGAGAGAGTGTGGAGGTCTTTAGGGAAACAGAAGCATCGGGGATATGTGAATGAAGCTATAAAAGATGTTGCCTTCATCCGCTTGTCTGATCATAGCGAGTACCGCCTCGGTAAAACAACGCTCCACCGGTGAAAATTTATGACGTGACCGCCTTGACTTCATACTGAACTCTGGAGTGCAGCGGCCTACCCACCCCGCACCGTAGGCGTCTCTCTGGCTTCTCTCTCCCTCCATCAGGCCCATGGCTCTCAGGGCCTCCCAGTGCCTCTCCGTTGGGACGTTACAGTCGACCGCGCAGTGAGACCGCCTCCTCCTGTGTCCACGCCCCCTTCTGGCCTCCACGGCAATTGGCTGGCCGTACTCGTCCACATATTGCACCTCCTCCCGGTGGCGCTGATGAGAAGGTTCTTGAGTCTTGCCCTGGTGAATAACATTGTGCACATATTACATTATAGATACAAATGCAGACTGTTTTAAATACCGTTTAGCTGGTAAGAAGAAGGAGGCCGGCTGGGTTCGTCAATCGGCGTTTAGCCTGCGATGCTCGGTCACTGCGACGGTAAATGGACTGTACTTGTACGGCGCTTTTCTAGTCTTCCAACCACTCAACACTACATGACATCTTTCACCCATTCACACCCATTCATACACTGATAACAGGATCTACCATACACAGTGTTGTGCGATTATTGCACCAACATAACAATATAGCGATATGCGATATTATTGCAATTTTCAGACCATTTTACGCCATTGATAACATAATGACAATAGCAGAGTAATACAAGTACGCTCTTTCAAAGAACAAAGGGCAGTTTATTTGTCAGAATAGTTAGACATTATAATGGGAATGTGAAAAAATATCCCAATTAAAACAACAACAAAATAATAAGTGCGAAGGACACGGAGCGGGTGAAGCATCGGGCTCAGTGCGACGTGGTCGGGTTCCAGAAAATGTGTCCGGCGGAAAAACGCGTCGCTTTCCACAAGCAAAAGGGACAACTTAAATGTTGATGACGTTCATTTATACGTCAAATCAATCAAAATCACCAAAAATGATTGCACGCGATTTCAGTGTGTGTGATATGTCATTTGATCGCATATTGCGACCGGCTCAGTGACACCTGCCCATCAGTCACTAACATCCACACACTGTAGTCGCAGCTACAGGAGCAATGTTGGGTTAAGTGTCTCGCCCAAGGACACATGGACATGCGGGTGTCCAACCCTCTGATTGGAGTAGGACCGTGGTCCCCGCTCACCCAACAGTCGCCCTTCACCCGTCCTTATGTAAAGAGATCAAAGATGGAGCCTTTCAGTTCAAGGAGAACAGCAGCATTCTGTTTAACTGCTGAGAAGCAGCTACACAGTTTCAAAAGTGCAGGATTATTGTGCTGAAGTCGGTCGTCGTGGCGCAGTAGTAGAGCGGCAGCACCGCATGGTTGGCGGTTCAGGCCCCAGCTGCTCCATGTTCTATGTCCAAGTGTCCCTGAGCAAGACACCCAACCCCTAATTGCTCCCCGGGCAAAAATGTAAAAGCCAGGTGTTAAAAATGCAAGTCGCTTTGGACAAAAAGTAATAAAGTCAATTTTGGTGGACAATTTGTAATAAAATAAAATGTGCTTATCGAAGCCAATGCATTAAAATGATTGCATATTAAATATGATAATATTGTATGATTAATATAGTATTAAATACACATAATTAAAGACATTTTATTACACTTTAGTAAAGCAACTACTCCCTTCCCGCGGCCCCACAGTTGTCCTGATGAAATGTCCCTTACTAACAACCCAGAGGTCTCATCTGATAAGCCGAGGTACGTTTACATCAGTGTTTGAAACGTAGAAGATGCAGATGCGTCGGCTCGGGACAGTAAAGGACGGCCAAGGCCCTGCAGGACGTTTTCAGTCGTCATGACGACGTCACTTATTGTAAGTCGCTTTGGATAAAAGCGTCAGCTAAGTGACATGTGATGTAATGTTGCAGTACGACAGCAGCGCTTTTGTGTTGTACCGTCACGTGTGAGAGTCAAGGCATCGGCGCGATGTAGGTCAGCCATCGCAGCACCAGAACCAGAGTCTTCACAGTGCACCGCCTGGTGCCCCCCCCCCCCCCACACACACACACAGTACATACATGTGGAAACCTGCCACGCACAAAGCCACACATGTACTAACACGCAGCAGTCAGAGTGATGAACCCTGGAGATGTGTGTGGCGCTCCGCTGCACTTTGACAGTAACACAGACTGATCTCTCTCTCTCTCTCTCACATTTTCTTTTTTCCAAAAAGCGTTTGACTCTATTTTCATTTTAAGTGCAGAATGCATAATAAAACTGTATCACAGTTTGATTTGATCTTGTGAGTTTTAGTCGCTGCCGTTTAGAGAATTTAAACCAAAGTCAGAGCTTTGTGTGTTAAAGCTGCGTTCTGTGTAGTGACCAGCAGGGGGCGACTCCTCTGCTCCCATAGACGTCTATGAGGAAATGACTCTACTTCTCTGTAGTGACCAGCAGGGGGCGACTCCTCTGCTCCCATAGACGTCTATGAGGAAATGACTCTACTTCTCTGTAGTGACCAGCAGGGGGCGACTCCTCTGCTCCCATAGACGTCTATGAGGAAATGACTCTACTTCTCTGTAGTGACCAGCAGGGGGCGACTCCTCTGCTCCCATAGAAGTCTATGAGGAAATGACTCTACTTCTCTGTAGTGACCAGCAGGGGGCGACTCCTCTGCTCCCATAGACGTCTATGAGGAAATGACTCTACTTCTCTGTAGTGACCAGCAGGGGGCGACTCCTCTGCTCCCATAGACGTCTATGAGGAAATGACTCTACTTCTCTGTAGTGACCAGCAGGGGGCGACTCCTCTGCTCCCATAGACGTCTATGAGGAAATGACTCTACTTCTCTGTAGTGACCAGCAGGGGGCGACTCCTCTGCTCCCATAGACGTCTATGAGGAAATGACTCTACTTCTCTCTTGATTTATTCCCTCAGTAAACATTGTAAACATGAGTTTATGTCTCAGTCTCTAGTTTCAAGTCTTCTTCAATACAGCATGATCATTTAGTAGACGATGGTCCATTTAGAGTCAAACTGGCCGTAAAGCAGGGGACGCTTTAGGGCGGGGCTACATGCTGATTGACATGTCCATGGCGTCTCTACACTGTCCAGTCCTTTTATGGTCACTTCTTGTTTACTGGTTGCAAAAAACAAGATGGCGACGGACAAAAATACAAACTTAATGCTTCATAACATCCACAAACAAGCAACGTCACCATGACGACATTCATTGTGTGTGTATATATATAATGTATATATTCAGTCTATACCGTCTTTTTAACTCTCGTCCTTTTGAGCCGCCGAATGCAACATATTTTAAAATAATCTATTTTAGAGCCTATTTAACAAAGTTGTGATGCCTTCTCTGACGTTCTATCCCTGACGGCGAGTCGAGTGTGAGCTTGTGTTCTTCCTGTGAGCATCGAACATTCAGACGCATTCAGCCATCAGGAGGAAATGGATTGTTTTGAGCCGAGTGATTCGAGTGAAGTGGAAAATGAGTCACACTTTCTTTTGTACATACCGAGAGCGTCAGTCTTTCACTCTGAAATGTTCTGGTTCGCGGGTGATTAAAAACGTCAATGGTTGCTTTATTTTAAAGCCCTTGTCCTTGTTTTCATTGTCTCAGAACGATAATTGGATCTAATTTAATCAGTCTCATTATTTAAGATATGATTGTTAGACAATATGAATCATAATGGTGTGAAAATAGGTTTTCTTTATTTTCATGGTATTGTTTAAACGCTGGTCTTTGATTCAACAATGATTTGTTCATGCACAGGAAACCAGAATAACTCATCACAACCTCCTGTTGTGGCTCCTTCCAAGTTCCTTCAGCAGCTCCGTGACCATGTGAAGGTCTCACGGTCTCCACAGGCCATGAGACCAGTTACTCCAGGACCAGCGGCCATTTCTGTCAATAAATCCACCGTGACATCACATCCTGCTCTGACATCATGGACCAACGAGCCGCGCGTGGTTATCCTGCTCAAACAGCCGCCCTCAGCAGCCACGGCGGGGTCCCTCGATGCCCCCCCCCCCCCCGAGAAACCAACCCTTCACCTCTCCCGGCCTTTAGCCTTCGCAGTATATTAATGACGCTTTATTTGTGAGCGTTTCCTCTCTTCAGATGGGCCACAAGTGAGACGGACTAAAGCTGAAGCGCCTGTCTAGTCCCGCCCTGCTGTGGTTGGCGAGAGCGTTCTTCTTTTCCTTAATCCTGCGATGCCCTTGTGTTTCCTAAACCCGAGTCGATTTTTGACGAGCTGGCTAGCGAAGTAGCATCAACATCAGGTCAAGAAACCTTGGGGTGACATTCTGTCGGGGGTGGACGCTACGGCCGACGGGAGGGCGAGTAACCAACACGGCTCGGACCGGAGTCCGGTTTCTTAGCGTGAGGAATCGGATGTGTGGCGGGAGAGCGTGACCGAAATGCGTGACACGTGAGAGCCCTGCAACACACAGATGAGGATGCTTTAGCACATTATTTATCTCAGCCTTGGTTTGCACGTGATATTTATCCATAGTAAGAGAAGGATAATAACATAACACAACTTGTGGTCGATTGCAGAAGCCAGAAGTAAAAGTGTGTTTTTAATGGATAGTTAGCAATGTAGCTGGCGAGTTAGCTTGTCCATGAGGTTACAATGTGGGAACATTTTACCCATTGAGTAAGTTGTCTCTGCTGATCTCCCTCCTCTCGATGTGGGCTGATGGCGTCACCACGGCAGCCATCAGATCCGGTTCTGATCTATTATGATCCCGTCAAGTCCTGGACTGTGTGCGTGTGTTTGTGTGTTCAGGTGATACAGCAAGTCACGTGACAAGAGCTTCGATCAACGCACGAGGGACAAAAAGCTCCGACAGGCGCAGGCGGACAGTCTTGTGTCGCGGCGCTCATAGACGGCAACACAAGACTTTTCGGCGTTGCGTGGCTAACGAGCGCAGCTAACGGGCGCGACTTGGACCCGGCGGTCGTCCGAGGACGTGAGATGAGGCTTTGCTACGTGATGGCGAACAGAAAGAGACGCTTTCCAAGAAAACTAATTAGCGTAGCTAATTGATAAACCCGTGATGAGTTCTGGGTTCATTGGGAGGGACAGAAACTCTGCTTCTGAGACGCGAGACGCTTCATGAGAGAGAGTCTCTCTCTGCTGCTTGTCGCTTTAGATGATTGTACATACTATATAAGAAATATGTGTAGATTTATGATTGTTCTGGGACTGCCATGGGTCTCCAAAGAGGAGCTCTGCTCCTGGCCAAGGTCCAACTGCAGGTCCTAGGCTGTGGTGAAGACAGATCTGGCTCTGTCCACGGTGGACTGGTCTCTGCTGGAGGATCTAGTCTGTCCACGGTGGACTGGTCTCTGCTGGAGGATCTCGTCTGTCCACGGTGGACTGGTCTCTGCTGGAGGATCTAGTCTGTCCACGGTGGACTGGTCTCTGCTGGAGGATCTAGTCTGTCCACGGTGGACTGGTCTCTGCTGGAGGATCTCGTCTGTCCACGGTGGACTGGTCTCTGCTGGAGGATCTCGTCTGTCCACGGTGGACTGGTCTCTGCTGGAGGATCTAGTCTGTCCACGGTGGACTGGTCTCTGCTGGAGGATCTAGTCTGTCCACGGTGGACTGGTCTCTGCTGGAGGATCTCGTCTGTCCACGGTGGACTGGTCTCTGCTGGAGATGTTCTGGTGAACCTGCATGATGTCATCTGATTTCACCAGAACCCGACCCGGTGGATCAGGATCAAGGTGAGATGAATATGGTCTCTGGAGCTCGATGTTTACTTTGTTTATTAACCTCATGAAACCAAGGAATCTTCTCTGCAATTTATGCGACCAATGACAGAGCAGCTTTGGTTTAAGGATTAATCTCAACACTATTGTTAGTGGAGGAATGGAGACTTCTTTTTATTCTAATGACTGACACTAAAAGGGAATTTACTCTATTACTTTATAATACATCAGCTGGATCCGACCATAGAGAAATATATAAAGGCCAGATGTCTCGTCCACGTTGCCGGACATTCCTATTATAAAAGTATACATATATATCTCATGTTACCATTCAGTTTTAGTAGCCTATATATTGATTCAACATAAATAACATAATACGCTGTGCATGTGTGTATTTAATGCACCCATCTGTTCTGTTTAATGTTATTTTCATTTGAAAACCCAGTTATAATTATTCATAAGTATAAGCTCACTGTGGAAAGATGGCCGCCTTTACACATATCTATGGATCTGACTGTTCATGCTAACGTCAGCATGCTAAAATGCTAACAGTGGTGCTGCTAACAAGCTATCGTTTAGCCTTTGATGAACACTGAGATCACTAAATTGTGTGAAAACAACTTGAACAAACACAATGAGAACAACAATTGGACATTGATGGTAATTCTTCCCATAAGTTTGACGTATGATGGTCAACGGCCGACCTTCATGCGAGATGTTTGAGGTTTTACGTCCATAGTCAGGGAGGTCTGAGAGGTGACTGCAAAAACACGACATACGACGACATTCTACTTTACAGTAAAGTAGAAATACCATTTAAAAATACTGCCCTACAAGTAAAAGTCCAAATGCAACGGCAGTAAAAGTAAAACTATACTTCCATCGTTGTCGCGGCTTCATACTGGTACCAAGTACTTTACTGTATTCTTATGGTTGATGAATGTATGCCACGCAGTGATACTCATGAGAAGTACTTGTACTTGTATTTGTATTAATGTACAAATACTTCAGTGGACACACACACAAACACACACACGCTGTGTTTGTGTGTCTAACAGAGATCAGGTCATCTCAGCAAACATCACATCTGGTTATCTGACTTCTCTTCTGCCCTCAGTGTCTCTCTCTCTCTCTCTCTCACCCTGTCTCTCGCCCCAAACGCACACCTGCAGAAGGTCACTCACCTTGGTCCGAGTCAGGCGACAACCCATCCTGACTCCTCCTGGTGAGAGGAGAGAGGATGGAGGGTGAAAGGAGAGGAAGATGAGGAGGACGGCTGAGAGAAGCTACAGAGGGGAGGGCGGCTGAAAGAAGGAGAGAGAGCGCAGAATAGATGATCCTCGTTCGACCGCCAAGCTCACGCCCCCCCACAACCCCCTCGCCCCAGCAATTCAGCTGTGCTCCTGTGCCGCCCAGCGCACTACATCTCCCATGATGCCACGGTGTAAACAGCAGCCGACTGGCAGCGGCGGGGCCATCGCACTAAAGCGCCCTCTCTCTCTCCTCGCCAATGAGAGAGAGCGAGAGACGTGAAGGAGAACAGAGAGCGAGATGGAGGTGAGGAGAACACAGGCGTCCTCCTCTGACAGTTTCTTCTTCTTTCTTACCCTCCTCTCTCTCTCTCTCTGCAGCTCTGCTCCCCCTGGCCAATCACAGAGCCCGGATGAGAGGAGGAGGGAGGCGGATGCTCTGATTGGCCGAGAGCGGAGTCATTCTGAGCATCCATTCGGGGTTTTCTCTCTCGCCACAGATTTGTCCTTTCTCCTTCGTCTCGGTATTTCTCCTGTGTGTGTGTGTGTGTGTGTGTGTGTGTGTGTGTGTGTGTGTAGTTGTGGTGAAGAGAGCGCGTTTCATCTACATTGGACTCGTATCCGTCTGTGGGAAGTGGAGGTCACGTGACGTCCCTCATTGGTGTGTAGACGTTTTCAAACTTCTAGTTCAGCGATTTTTCTGTCGGCATTTTGTTTTTTCACAACCAGTGAACAGGAAGTGACCATATAAGGACTGAGGAGGACATAGAGACGCCGTGTACGTCTCTGTTAAAGACCTGTCAATCAGCGTGTAGACCCACCCTAAAGCATCCTCTGCTTTATGGTCTGTTGGACTCTAAATGGACTGAATGAAATTCAGATTTTCAGATTTGAAACTAGAGATTGAGACCATAAACCTTTATAATGTTTATAATCAAGTCTATGGGACCAGAGGAGTCGCCCTCTGCTGGTCACTGCACAGAATGCAGCTCTAAGACTTAACAAAAACAAAGTTCTATTCCTATAGCAGTGGTATGAACGGTATATTTGCGCTGGAGTCGCAAGATTGGTCTGGTTTGGGCTGTCAATAAAAATGAACTAATCGCACATTTTAAAATTCATTAATCACGAATAATGAATGTTCTTCTAAAGACTAAATCGGGTGTTTTAGACACTGTTGTTTAATTGTTAATGTTATTTTAAACACAAAACTACACACATTTGACACATTTTGGAGGCAGAATTCCTCCTGGTGGAACACGATGAACACGTTGAACATGTGGAACACGTTGAACATGTGGAACACGTTGAACATGTGGAACACGTTGAACATGTGGAACACGTTGAACTAGCGACTCTTCCTGTCGTCCTCCTGCACTTTGCTCTCCATCATTTGACGTGGTTAAAGTGCCAACATGTCCCCACATTAGCAGGACATGTCTTTTAGGGACACAGTGGTCCTCTGCTGTGCCGCGCCGGGTAACGTTTGACGTTGAGATGGAAGTAGCCTAGCAGTTAGCTTAGCATAGGGGTGCTTTTAAGTGGTCTGTTTTTGCACTCGCCCTCTTCTGTTTGACACGTGGAGTTATTCCTCTGCACAGTTCTCTGCCGTATGCCTATAGTTTTACTTCTAATGCAAAAAGCTCTCGCCAACCTGTTACGTTAACTACTAAGTTACAATAAACTACGTTCAAATATTTTGCTGCATTAATCTCTGCCACATTCATCGCATACATTAATGCCTTTATGTTATGTTTATGACAGCCATGATTTTACCATCAGAGCATGTGAACATGTTAAGGTGGAAACACTAAATAATGACCACCACATGTCTCCTTTAACGCAAGTAAGCAGTTTAGTGGACTAAAGTGAACACTAAAGTGGTTCAGTTGTTTAGTCCAACCAGACAAACGGAGTAATCAGCGACAGCTGTCATGGTTTGCAGCTTCGTGACTTGGGGGGACATTAGTTAGTCCACCCGGATATCACAGCTCAGAGTCCCTTGCATCACCAGACACACACATTCACACTGTCCCGTTTGTTCTGCCGGTGAAGCCCTTCTGTCCCCAGCAGCTCAGCACTCACACAATCACGTTGCTGCATTCTGCATACAAACAAACCTTCTAGTATCAAATTGGACCTTCAGGATCAAGATGAAGCCCTCGAAAAGCAAACTGCCTCCTTCCATCGCAAACACACACATGTACAAATTAGCATGACGCTAAACAGACAAACAAACACACACACACACGCCTAATTTGTGTGCACAAAGTGAAAAAAAGAAACTCAGCAGAGACAGAAAGAGAGAAAAGAGCGACGCAGCGAAGGGAAACGCAATCAGACAAATAGGGAACAGCTACACACACACACACACACACACACCACACATACCCACACGCACACACACACACGCTGCGTTGTATGCAGTAGTGTAGCAGCAGAAATAGCCACAGAGCAGATAGCAATGAATATTTTACGCTCTCTCTCCTCCACATTTGTTTTTTCTGTTTCCACCTCTCTACTCTCTCTACACTCTCTCTACACTCTCTCTACACTCTACACACTCTACACACTCTACACACTCTACACTCTCTACACTCTCTACACTCTCTCTACACTCTCTCTACACACTCTACACTCTCTCTACACTCTCTCTACACTCTCTCTACACTCTCTCTCACTCTACACACTCTCACACTCTACACTCTCTCTACACTCTACACACTCTACACACTCTACACACTCTACACTCTCTACACTCTCTACACTCTCTACACTCTCTACACTCTTCTCCCTCTTCGTCTCCACCGTCGTCATCATCTTCTTCACATAGTGGTGAAGCGTCTTCCTCTGTTCAGACGACCTGCAGCCGTTACATAAAGTCACATAACTGGTGAACACGGTGATTAAATAGAAAGGATCCACATGTTTATTGATGTGACGTTTTCATCAGATTATTGGAGCAACTTCACAGTATTTACCTACAGTTATGAGGTACTTGAGTATTTCCTTATCATCCTTCTTTATACTTCTACTTCATTTATCTGAGTCGCTTTGCAGATTCCGATGATTAAAACCAAGTACTATCAACCAATAAGTGATGATCATGTATTGTTTATTGTTCATAATGATTAACTTGATACATCAATATGTACAACTATAGAATCATATCAAAGTATTCAGACATTGAGTATCATTCTTGTGCTACTTCCAACTTCCAAAGTATTGTAATATTTATGCACTATTACTTCCGTAACTAAGTTTTACTTGTAACTGAGTACTTCTACACTGTAGTAGTGGTACTTTTAGTTCAACAAATACCTGAGTACTTCTATCCTGCAGTATTAGTTACTTCATCAGTATTAAATGAAGAGACATCAGTTGAAGGCTCAAAAGAAGGAGCGTGTTTTATTTCCGTATTGATCGTAGGTACAAACATTTACTGCAGTCCGTGCTCCTCGTGGACGCCGTCACTTCCTGCGTCTCCGGCCGAGCAGAGGTCATGTGACTCCAGTCTGAGGGGTAAATGATGCACAGCGGATATAAGAGGAGGAGGAGGAGGAGGAGCAGCAGCGGGGTCGTCATGACAACAGACTCACTTCCCTGAACACGTGGGATGAATCTGTTTATTCACAGAGGCTCCGCCTCCATTCGCCCGCTCGCTTTCAGAGGTCACGTTCCAACAGGGATCAAACCCTTTGCTGGTGGAACCGATTCGTTCCGCTGTTTTTAATCTGTCGTTAGTGCCGGTTTTTATAAGACCAAGGTTACGATAAAAAGAAAAAACGTTTTATATCGAGTTTGTGGAGTCGTGATAGCGATCTGCGTCCGTCAGACCACAAACTCCTCGAGCGGACGCACGTTCAGAAGCCGCAGCCTTCTCCTTCAGTTCAGACAACGGGTTAAAAATACCAAAGTTTCCTTTGGAGACACAGAAACATCTTCATGAAACGTTCCGTCTTCTCCACCCAGATCCACGGGCAGATGTTGGGATTATGGCAGCTGATTTTGTGATGGGTGTGAATTATTAATTGACCCATACACCTCCGACAAGGGGGAGGAGCCGGGATAGGTGTTTGTCATCACGTGGGCGGGGTTAATAAGGCGTTGTGTCCCCCTCCTCCTCCTCGGGCTCCTCACAGCCTCAGAGTGAGGAGCCCAGTCAGACAGGCTAACAGCAGAGGAGGTGAGGAGGCGGAAGCAGCGCTCATGCTCGCCTCCTGGCTGTGGGATAAGTTACGCTTTCCGTCTCGCTCCTCTTTTACCGCCTTCTCTTTGAAAGGAACTTTTTTCTTCACTTCCACTATCTTGTCAGCACCCTTGTTCTCCTTCTCCTCTGGAGTAGGATGGAACTCTGGGGGCTGGGTGCCTGGGGCGGGTGTGGCAGGTGGTTGGAGGTCGTCTGAGTCCCCTTCTGCTATGATGGTGCTGTTACTGGGAGTACTGGTAGGAGTGATGGTGGGAGGGTGGACATTAGGGCCGACATCCTTCCCTTCAGGCTGGAGGGAGGGGCCAGATGTTGCTGGAGGAGGAACAACTGCCTCCAGCTCCTTCTCCCCTTCAGGCTGGATGGAGGGGCCATTTGTTCCTGGAGGAGGAACAACTGCCTCCTGGTCCTTCTCCCCTTCAGGCTGGATGGAGGGGCCAGTTGTTCCCTCCTGGTCCTTCTCCCCTTCAGGCTGGATGGAGGGGCCAGTTGTTCCTGAAGGAGGAACAACTGCCTCCTGGTCCTTCTCCCCTTCAGGCTGGATGGAGGGGCCAGTTGTTCCCTCCTGGTTCTTCTCCCCTTCAGGCTGGATGGAGGGGCCAGTTGTTCCTGAAGGAGGAACAACTGCCTCCTGGTCCTTCTCCCCTTCAGGCTGGAGGGAGGGGCCAGACGTTCCTGGAGGAGGAACTGCCCCCTCCTCCTCATCCACATCTTCTGCTTCATCATCATCATCCTCCATCGTGTCAGCAACTACACAACCAACAACACAAGATAGTAAGTTGAGAAACGTCATCAGATCAATCGAAACATCTAACTATGTAGAACATTTACACTTACTATACTATAGAGGATCAGGACTAAACTGAGACTGGTTCTTAAGAAGATCAGGACTAAACTGAGACTAGTTCTCAGAGGATCAGGACTAAACTGAGGCTGGTTCTTAAGATGATCAGGACTAAACTGAGACTGGTTCTTAATATGATGAGGACTAAACTGAGACTAGTTCTCCGGGGAACAGGACTAAACTAAGACTGGTTGTTAAGAGGATCAGGACTAAACTGAGACTAGTTCTTAAGATGATCAGGACTAAACTGAGGCTGGTTCTCCGAGGATCAGGACTAAACTGAGGCTGGTTCTTAAGATAATCAGGACTAAACTGAGGCTGGTCCTTAAGATGATCAGGACTAAACTGAGGCTGGTTCTCAGAGGATCAGGACTAAACTGAGCTGGTCAGTCTGGAGATGAAACGTGCAGAAGCAGAACATCTCAAAAAGTCATACCACATAGGTTGTTTTCACACTTCTGGAAGTTGTCAGGACATCTGGAGCACCATTCACCTTCAACAAATGGCCGCTGTTCATCGTAGTTCCCTCTGAGGACATTTAAAGAGACAGTACAGTACACATACTTTATTGTAGTTCATGATTTATCTTTGTATTACTTCATACGTCATAGAATACTAAGTATAAAGAGTAGATGTCAACATACTCTTTAATTCAATAAATGCTCCTCTTAATGGTAGTAGTATTATCAGTAGTACTGTAGTGGTGGTAGAAGTAGTAGTAGTACTGATGCTGGGTAGTAGTATTATCAGTAGTACTGTAGTGGTAGTAGAAGTAGTAGTAGTACTGACGCTGGGTAGTAGTATTAGTAGTAGTACTGTAGTGGTGGTAGAAGTAGTAGTGGCACTGATGCTGGGTAGTAGTATTATCAGTAGTACTGTGGTGGTGGTAGAAGTAATAGTAGAAGTAGTAGTAGTACTGATGCTGGGTAGTAGTATTAGTTGTAGTACTGTGGTGGTGGTAGAAGTAATAGTAGAAGTAGTAGTAGTACTGATGCTGGGTAGTAGTATTAGTTGTAGTACTGTGGTGGTGGTAGAAGTAGTAGTAGTACTGATGCTGGGTAGTAGTATTAGTAGTAGTACTGTGGTGGTGGTAGAAGTAGTAGTAGTACTGATGCTGGGTAGTAGTATTAGTAGTAGTACTGTGGTGGTGGTAGAAGTAGTAGTAGTACTGACGCTGGGTAGTAGTTGCAGACCAGGAAGGAGGCTCTCTCCCAGTCTAAACCCTCCATGTTGTTACAGAGATGGAAGGCACAGCCGACTCTGTGTGTGTCTGCCCACACCATCTGTAACGCACACACACACACACACACACACACACACAGCTTAGATACACACATACAAATGTGTATATAATTTCATATGCCAATATATTTGTATCTGACCTGTGTATAGTGTCCACACATCTGGTCTTCATCACAGGTGTTGTTTTGGAAGTCAAAGTTCTGACGTTCTACAGGAATATAGTACATTATGTATGTATATATACATTTTACTGACAATACCAATAAATATAACTTAAAAGTAAAAGCACTTATTATGCAAAATGTTTTATCAATGGATTCACCTCTTCACAATTACATATTTCTTGCACCATTGGATTATTATTATTGATACATTAAATAGATAGAGTTGTATCAACATTTGCATTTAATCAATACACGACTATCAAATCAAATAAATTCAGTACGATTGTAAAACTCTTGACGATATCGGCACGCTAAAGAACCAGAAGAACATTTGGGGCCCGCTCTTCTCCTTGAGATGGTGGACCAGCAGGTCAGATATTTGGTTCTACAAACGGATAAAGAAGCTCACCCAGAAACCATTTCTCCAGAGCCTCCCGGAGGTCCAGAGGCCCGGTGCCGACGAACAGGTTCTCCCCGGTGTCCTCCAGCTCCGGGTTGTGGTTCCAGATGCATTTGGCGGCGTAGCCCTCGGCGATGATCTTCAGGCTCGGGTCCCATCGCTGCAGAGAACCAATGCTTCAAGTTTAGTGGAATGGAATTCAGACTCCAGAGCTACTGAACTGTGATTGGTTAGAACTGAGAGTAATTCTCTGCTTTGATCGGCAGATGAGCTTTGAATAAGAGTTCGGTATGACGTTTAATTTCGCTTAATGACGTTAGCTAGCCAGCTTGCTAATTAATTCCACCGTGCTTTAATGGTACACTGAAGATCACAATGTTCTTTCCTACGTCGATACAAGAGTATGTGGATGAAACATTAGTTACTTATTTATCTTATTTAGTGACTGGCTAGTTAGCTAGCTAGCTAGCTAATTCCTCGGCCCTTTAATGCTATGCTGACGATATCAGCGAGCTTTCCTAATCTATGAAATGTTTACGGATAAACTATTAAGTTGTTTCATTTATGTTATTCAGCAACTGGTCAGTTAGCCAGTTAGCTTACTAATTCCATCAACCTTGTGTGCTATCTGTGTCCTCTCCTACAGACCCAAGATTATGTGGATGATGTGTTAAGATATTCAATTGTACTCATTCAGCAACTAGCTACTTAGAACGCTAGCTTGCTCATTGAACTGCCACGCTACACTTGTTTTCTGGGTACTATAAAATGCGCCCTGCTAGGTACAAAGATCCCAGTTTGTGTTCAAATAAACTGCTTTTTGGTTAAAAAGCCTGCTAGACAAAAAGAGCCAAACATTGAAGCCAATGAGCTCTAGCCAATCACAGCACGGTAGGGGCGGGACTAAGTGGAGCACTCTTTGTAAACTAAAGGAGTGTTTCCTGACGTCATCGAACGACAAACTTCACAACGGCCACAGAGATCCTTGTTTTTTGGTCGGGAATGACATCATGTTGTGAAACACACACACACACACGTTTTATGAGACTGGGTCAATAACAGCCTCTAGTTGGAAAGAATATAACGTGACATCTCATATAACCGAGGAAGAAGCAGAACATTTAAATTCACATGTTTGACCCCGAGTCAGGCATGAAGTCGTCATGTTTTCTCTCCATACGTATGTGTGACAGTTTATTCCCTTGAGACGACGTCCTCGTGTCCCACCTGTCAATCCTGACCTTTGACCTGTGACCTCTCTCCCAGCACCGGTCTGAGGTACGTATTTAACTCCCTCTCCATGAGCTGGACCACGAGTCAGCTACTCTCACAGAAGGATTCAGTCCATTTACACACACTAATAAAACCCTCATTTGAGCTGTTGATCTCGTTGCTTCTGTTACTGAGTCCAAACATTTTGTTGAGAAAGTTAAAAAGTATCCTGTGAATGTGCACAAAGATCATGACCTTTTGAATTGACACACGCTGCTCCGGGACAAACAGGTGATCAGGATCTTTTCTCAAGGAATTCATTTTGTAAAGTTTTATTGTAAACAAAGTGTTCCATCTCCTCCGATCGTGACCCAGGACAGTGTGTGATGTGGACTGTGACCAGTGGGAGCTGATCCCAGACCCTCCCCAGGGGAGGGGGGCACAGATCTGTGTCACCTTAGACTATGTAACTATGTAGACTATTATAACTATGTAACGCACAACTGTAGAAGGAGCGCTTGGACGCGTGACTTGTATGTGTTACACCTCATACCTGCTAGCGTCTAACAAACGTCCTGTTCAACCATCTCCCACCGCTGCCGAGAAAACACATTTCACACCACAACGAACCGCCGAGCAGAGACTCTGAGGGGTTAAATTACTGCTTTTAAATGAAGTCATGTTTAATAAACATCGTCATAGTTTACTTCGTAAAAAAAAATACATTTCATCTGCTGATAAAAATGACACACAAAGCAGCAAATGATAATAAAAAGCACAAATACAGATAAATAAAACTGGCTGATGTTGGATGATGGCCGGTAGAAACCTGAGCAAAGATTATGGTTTTATGATTTCAGACCTGAAGTCGCTTGACCTTATTCACACATATGAACACGTGTGGATTCATCCGCCGCTGAAAATAGTCCCAACAGCGTTGGTTTTGGTAGTTCTTTGGTAGGAACCAACGGGCCCCGGACAGGAAGCCGGACTGTATTCAAAGACAAACTCACGTCTTGCTTTTGTTGACGGTAAGAATATAAAAAAATAACCAAACTTATCATTTAAGTTATTTTGTTGCTATTTTTTCAGATGAGACAGCAGAGATTTACATATGTGTCCATTTTGTGGTTTGTGTCGTTGTTGCTAAAATGCTGATGAACGTGTGTGTGTGCGTGTGTGTGTGTGTGTGCGTGAGTGCGTGTGTGTGTGAGCGTCTATTGTCCGGCGATGACAACAATAGTCAGGGGTCTCCTCACATTCCTGTCTCTCTCAACATCTGATCCCTGTTATGACTCTCATCCACATGTTTGTGTACTAACGCACACACACACTGTGTACTGCTGTTGCCATAGCGATCAGTGTTGCGGGCTGACTGGACGGCAGCCTTTCTGACCACCGGGGGCGACTCCTCCCGTCCTGTAGAAGTCTACGAGAAAATGATATGGATTCATTCGATCGATCAGCTGTTAGATACTGCTGATCTCGGACCGCGGTAGACGGGGGGAATAGAAATTAAATATTGTCCTGCGGCCCAAAGATAATTCCTTGAGTTTTCCATATGCGTTCTAGATCCTCCCTCCAGCTTGTCTCCAGCTGAAAGAAATATATGAAAATGGAAATGTAATGTCATTTAATTTTCCATTTTTTCTTTCTCTATAAAAACAATGTGTTCTTCGTCGACCTCATCTGTTGCTCCGCCAAGCGCCTCCTCTCCCTCCCTGTCCCCCAGGATGATCCAATCGAGGGAAACACCCGCCTGCTATTTACTCAGCATGTTTTCTCTCAGGTTTTGAGGTTCTCCAAATAAAAAGAGAGAGAGAGAGAGAAAGGCGATCTGATCCGGGTACGAGGAGACGTCCACTGATGAAGTATTTAAACAACCCATTCAGGCTTCATGTGTTAAGCTGCATTCTGTGCAGTGACCAGCAGGGGGCGACTCCTCTGCTCCCATAGACGTCTATGAGGAAATGACTCTACTTTCTGTAGTGACCAGCAGGGGGCGACTCCTCTGCTCCCATAGACGTCTATGAGGAAATGACTCTACTTCTCTGTAGTGACCAGCAGGGGGCGACTCCTCTGCTCCCATAGACGTCTATGAGGAAATGACTCTACTTCTCTATAGTGACCAGCAGGGGGCGACTCCTCTGCTCCCATAGACGTCTATGAGGAAATGACTCTACTTCTCTATAGTGACCAGCAGGGGGCGACTCTGCTCCCATAGACGTCTATGAGGAAATGACTCTACTTCTCTGCAGTGACCAGCAGGGGGCGACTCCTCTGCTCCCATAGACGTCTATGAGGAAATGACTCTACTTCTCTGTAGTGACCAGCAGGGGGCGACTCCTCTGCTCCCATAGACGTCTATGAGGAAATGACTCTACTTCTAATGGGAGGAGGCTCTCTGGATGTTGAAATTCTTATCTCTGCCCTGTGAGGAATTATAAACCACTTAAAGGTTCAGATTATAGTTGAATCCGGTTTAATCATCTCCTTCAGGATCCCAGGTGTCCTGGACAAGGTGTCTTCACTGAGAGCAGAAGGGGGGCAGCCGCTCCCAAACTGTGATTAATTAAAAGTTAAAACAATCTTAGAACGCATGTGGGGAGGCATTCAGGTCCAAACCGACTATGAAATCCATCACTGCACCTCCATGAAGAGGTAAGCCTTCTCTCTGGTCCCCTGACTTAACCAACAACAAGCCCCCCCCCATGAATTAGTTCTGACCGGCACCTGTTCTCAGGTCAGTGGCCTGACCAACAGAAACCCTCAGCGAGGTTGTGACGACTTCCCCAAGTGAGCCGCTGCCCCTTCATTCACACGTTCACACTAAGCGAAGACGCGGCCCATGTAGCATGGCATCGACCCCAATGTGACACGGTGACGTGATCCTTTCTATATGAGAGAAAGTGGACGTTGTCATGGTGACGCCACCTCGTGGATGATATCTGGAGTAATGTAGTTGTTTTAGGAGCAGATGACGGTTCCCCTGGTGGACACGAGAGAAGATGCAGCTTCACCACATGAGGCTTCAGCTGGTCTCGACAGTTGTTTATGGTCACTTCAATAAACCAAACCCTTCATATGTGATGGGTTTGATGGGTCTGAACAGTTTGATCTGTTCAATGTGTACATTTTTCTCATTGCTTATAGTTGTTTGGTCAATAATGAGTCTTAAAGCCTCATGGAGCCGCCAGTATGTCTACAAAAAGAGCTTCAGTGCGCTTTTACTGGAGCGTTAAAATAAACAATAAATTATAATTCTTAATATTCGGGACAGGCGTGTCCACGAAAGGCGGCGCGGGAACATGAGAAGAAGAAGCAACCAGAAACAAAGCCAGATAATTACAACAAGCCGCTCCAGAGATCACATGATTAGTGATGATGTTCTGACTCAGAAACACGGGACCAATGTGCATTTAACAATCCGTTTTCCTGTGTTTTGTCTCCCCTTGTCTCCTTTCCTTCCCCCCTCCGTTCCTTCTTCCTCCACCCTCCTCCTGCACCATATATCAGACCCAGACCTCCTCCCTCAGACACACGCACCATCTTCCTACTTTAAAACAGCCAGGGGCCTCACAGCTGGAGACGATTAGAACTGACCGGGACGCCTCCAGAGGCAGCAACAATGCCATGAAAGCTTCATTTCTGTTTGGCTTAGTTTTCCCCTTGAGAATATAAACTCCTAAATGCAGTTCTAGTGCGTATTAGTATTAAGAATATTACTACATCTAAGCTGTTTGTTTGGAAGGTAGAAGCTAAAAGTAAAAAAGAAACCTTTTATTATTTTAAAAGAACTCATGTGTTAAAATGTAGGAGTGATAACATGTCACAAATTGTAATTTGAAAGCAGCATAAACAGGATATTTAACTTAAAATCTGTACTAATGATGAATCTTCAGATACTAAATCCAATGATGTAACTTTTCAAATTTCGTACCACCAAATTAGCCGTTTTTCTTTGTTGGGTTAGCTCTTGTGCTAACTGGTTAATCGTTTGTGCTATCGGGTTAGCTCTTGTGCTAACTGGTTAATCGTTTGTGCTATCGGGTTAGCTCTTGTGCTAACTGGTTAATCGTTTGTGCTATCGGGTTAGCTCTTGTGCTAATAACTGGTTAATTATTTGTGCTACCTGGTTAGCTCTTGTGCTAATAACTGGTTAATTATTTGTGCTATTGGGTTAGCTCTTGTGCTAATAACTGGTTAATTATTTGTGCTATTGGGTTAGCTCTTGTACTGTTAACTGGTTAATAACTTGTGCTATCTGGTTAGCTCTTGTGCTAATAACTGGTTAATCATTTGTGCTACAGGTCCACTCTCTCGCTCAATTGATGTGTGCCCATGAACCATTTAACTCCTGGACTTCCCTCTAGGTTTTCTTCCTTTTTGTTTTTTGTTGTCCCGTAAAACTCACATACTGATTGCTTCAAACTGCGAGGGACCATTCCCCTAAAAACCTTCAAAGATGAATGTTATTTATGATTTGTCTTTGTGTGGCAGTTCAAAGTAGAAAATGACAAAGGTGAATAGCTTCATATCTACGATGCCTTCAGGCGTTTGTAAGCTGAAGGGCCGGCCTGTCCCTGCAGAAGAATTCAGTGTATCTCCACAAAGCTCCATGTTCATTATGCAGGGCTGCAGAATCAGATTAGTGAGACTCGATGCGGATCCTGTTTCCAAGAATAAAGACGAGTCTGTGACCTTCACTCCAAACTTCTACCATTAAATTGAAAACTGCAAAAATGTGTGCTGAGTCCCGGATGCAGAAAATCTGCTTTCTCTTCTGGCAGCAGATGCTTCTGACTCATCCATTCAATGTTTGTAATTATTACCGTTGACCTTGTGAAGACCAACTTCTTTGAAGGTCAACGCTGTGTTTAGACTTTTAGGTAAATATGTATCAGCTTTTTAACAATTCAAACCAATAGTTTTTTCCCTCTTGTTTGTTGCTCTGAAACATTTCAATTATCCATTAGTTGTAAATTACAATTTAACCACGGACTGCTTCCAGGAAGTGGATGTCGTCATGGTGACATCACTCATTGGTTTGTGGAATGATGTTTTGAAGTTCAAAACAACTGTGACAGCATACAAGTCTCTGATTGAGACCTGTCAATCATTGTTTAGCCCCGCCCCTACAGCGTCCCCTGCTTTATGGTCGGTTTGACTCTAAATGGACCATCAGTCACTAAATGAACATCGTGTTGTGTTGAAGAAGACTTGAAACTAGAGACTGAGACATAAACTCATGTTTACAATGTTTACTGAGGGAATAAATCCACAGAGAAGTAGAGTCATTTCCTCATAGACGTCTATGGGAGCAGAGGAGTCGCCCCCTGCTGGTCACTACAGAGAAGTAGAGTCATTTCCTCATAGACGTCTATGGGAGCAGAGGAGTCGCCCCCTGCTGGTCACTACAGAGAAGTAGAGTCATTTCCTCATAGAAGTCTATGGGAGCAGAGGAGTCGCCCCCTGCTGGTCACCACACAGAATGCAGCTTTAAGACTTGAAAACGTCCCTCGGACTAAAACAAGAACAAAAACAAATTCAACTAAGCCGATTAATTGCAGGAGAAATTCTCTGAAACATTCTTGTGAGGAATTAGTTCAAAGATTAAATCTTCTGCAGAGAAAAATGGAACGAGTTTCTCCTGCAGCTTGGTTCAGCGAGGGAGCCGCCAGCTGACATTTAAAGGACAACATTACCATAATTACACCAGCGTCTGCCGGTTGACTAACGCACCGTCACAAGGGCGTCTTACCAGGGGCAGCATGGCCGAGGCGCTGGGGGACACCTGTCCTCTGTAGTGGTTGTGCAGCTCCACCAGCAGCTCCTCCTGCTCCTCGCTCAGGTAGCTCCGGGCTCCGGGCAGCGCCAGGAACCCCAGCAGGAGCCAAGTCCAGAGAGGGGCCCCGGCCCGGGCAGCAGCCCTTCGCCGGGAGGCCCCCTGGAGCTCCGAGGGGCTCCGCTGGTGCATGGCGGTAAAACCAGGGTCTTGAGGGTGTGTATCCTGAGGTGGTGGGTCCAGAGTGCCGTCTGTGTGCGTGTGTGTGTGTGCGCGTGTGTGTGTGTGCGTGTGTGTGTGTACAACAGGCCACTTTAAGAGTGAGTCGAGTGTGTTTGTCCTCAGCGCCTCTCACTCTGCTGATCGCTCTGTTACTGAGGCGGTTTTAAGAGAGAGAGAATCCTCCCCCACACACACACACACACACACACACACACACACAGTTCACACACTGCACGGACTGGTACGCAAAACAACCCCCCCCTCGATACTCTGTCCTCCCCCCCCCCCCTCCTCATTTCCCTTCTTCTACTTCCATTTATTTCATTGGCTCCACGTTTTCCTCTCAGAGATGCTGAAACAACACAAAGTGATTTAAATGTTTCACTACTGAATAAAGTTATTTCATTGATTAGTGATCATAGACAACAATGTGTGAAGAGACACGCTGAAGTTCAACATGTGTGTATTATTTAATATATTTCCCAGGAGGCCTCCTCCTCCTCCTCCTCCTCCTCGTCCTCCTCCTCCTGCAGGCGACTGTGGGTGAGTGGGGGGACACGGTCGTCCTCAGAGGGTTGACGGTTCGATCCCAGACCGGTGGGACGACCAGAGCAGCGCTGCACAGTCCAGCCCCCATTCTGAAGAGCAGCAGCAGAAGAAGAACCGCTGTCTGAGACCCCACCCCACCGTTCCCATTGGTCGGTTCTGTGTGATGTCACAGTGTGGGTGCGATGATGTAATGTGTCATGAGGGGATCGTCCATGAACCCAGAACGCTCGGTGGTTCATGTAAACCGACTACGACGTGAGTGTGCACTGCCTTAGCTTAGCATAGCTTAGCTTAGCTGTCTCAGTTTAGCTAGCAGGCTGAATCCGCTTCAGAGGGTCAAGCGGCTCGTTGAAGACCCGTCGTCAGAATCCACATTTTAGTCTTATTTCTTCTCCCTCTTCCACACCTTCTCTTGTCTGGTGGCTGCTCAGCTGGACCACACCTGGACCACACCTGGACCACCTGGTTCTCTCACGTTGATCACATGATGAAATGTGTTCCTTGAATTAGAATCACCAGCTGAATTAAACCCACCTGTGAGAATGAACATCACCCGTCACTCACACGCTGCCACACACTCAGGCGGGCTTATTGATCCGTGTGATCGGCTTTAGATATCGATGCACAAACCTTGTGTGTGTGTGTGTGTGTGTGTGTGTGTGTGTGTGTGTGTGTGTGTGTGTGTGTGTGTGTGGCACAGATGCAATCAGACACTCACAATGTTCTTGCTTTCTTTGAGCTGTTTTCATTCTCTCAGCCAAGTGCATCAGATCATTACGCACACCCAGCTGTACGGCTCACGTTTCACCACACGGCACATTCCTGTGTGTGTGTGTGTGTGTGTGTGTGTGTGTGTGTGTCTGTGTGTGTGTGTGCTGGAGGAAGCCGAGGTGGTGAACACATGAAACTGAGTCCTGTCGGTCACCGTTTTCTGCCTAACAATGACTTCAGGTTGTCGGTCTGCAGGGAGACCCGGTACACGTGTGTCCTGACCTTACACACACACACACACACACACACACACACACACACACACACACACACACACACACAAACGCATGCGTTAGACAACCAAAGCACTTTGCATAACGATACAGTGGTTTATTTAATTAATTAATAACGTCTATGAGGAAATGACTCTACTTCTCTCTGGATTTATTCCCTCAGTAAACATTGTAAACATGAGTTTATGGTCTTAATCTCAAGTCTTCTTCAATACAGATGATGTTCTCAGGTTTTACATGATTCTAACGTTTAGTTCTTTGAGATCAATGAGTGCTGCATTTTGCTCTGGACACAGTCGACTGGGAGGAGACCAGTATGGAGGGATTGATTAAAGTCAATGATCCACTGGGAGGTTTAATTTAAGGACTTCAGATGAAAAATCTCTACAGAACAGAGTCATTGTTGTGCAAGAATAAAAAGACACAGAAATAAAGTAAGAGAAGTAAACTGGAATTCCCCTCATACTGGGACTGTTAAACTGGGCCGAGGGGCGAGTACCACATTCCTCACAGCTGCACACACACACATAAATCTATACATCATAAGACTAGCATGCGATGGTGAGTGCACCGAACCCGGCCCTCGTGAGCCTGTTGTCATTGACAGGCTGCTGATGGCGAACAGATGAGTGTGTGTGTGTGTGTGTGTGTGTGTGTGTGTGTGCGCGGAGGGTGTGGACCTTCTTCAGTGTGATTAGTTTGGGAACCTCGAGCCAAATGCGAACATTATGCAACGTGTGAGCAGACCAGGGTGAGTGTAACATGGCCTCTGTGTGCGTGTGCGTGTGTGTGTGTGCGTGTCCCATTATCATCGCCATCATCTGTTCTTGGACCTGTCTGCAGAGCTGCACACGCCCGGTGATGATGTCATGTGTACAGGAAGTTGACCACTCCTTAGAGACGATCACAAACCTTCACAACCAAGCCTGAACACTGGGACCCCCGACCCCCCCGACCCGAGACCCGACTCCTGCTCCATCCTCTTTTTACCCAGAGACCGTCTCTAACAGGAAGTAGGCGTGGCGGGTAGAGACGCTGATCTATAAGTTGGTGCTGTGAGGAGTTCTGGTCCAGAGGAGCAGCATTAAGAGACACAGACGTCTGTAAGGACATTTAAAATAAGGGTTCTCATATCTAATCTGATATGAAGCAGAAGTTGGACGAGGGAAGGAGGACGAGCTGAAGAAGTTAGTCATGATGGAGTCATTGAGGAGACGGATCCAGAGACACACCCTTTGGGGGGGTTGGGTGTAAATAGTCTGTACAGCATCTTCCGACCACTTAAAGCGCTTTAACACTACATGACATCACTCAGCCATTCACACTCATTCACACACTGCAGTCACAGCTGCAGGAGCATCGATGGTGCCTTGCCCAAGGACACGTGGACATGAACCACCAACCCTCTGATTGGAGGACGACCTGCTCCCCACTCGCCCACAGTTCCTTTTTTTTAATTTATCTGTCAGTCGGGGAGGATTTCATGTAAGAAGATTCATTTTGTGCACAAAGGAACATGAACCATGTCATCACTATACCATATATATACACTATATAAGACTGAATACTGATCAATAACCCGTATGTTACATATACACACAATATGACACCAAACAACGTTTCTAATAGATAAAAATATATTTCACTCATTTTAAATTACAGAGACAAAGTCGCAGTTTGAGTTTTTGTTTCGCTGCTTCATAAATGCAATAACTTGCATCATGACTTATTGTTCATGAACGTCACATCTGGAACGCTCACACATCAGCTGATCCCACGGCGCGTTCAGGCGTCATCCGAGAAAACTTGTCCCAGGACGGCGAGTCGAGCGCTGAAGGGCTGAACGGGGCAGGACAGCAGGGGCGTCTTCCTCTCGCCCGGCTTCAAAACAATGCTCTCCGATTGGCCGGGAGGCGGGCCCTCCGATGGGCCGGGAGGCGGGCCCTCGCTGCGCCCTCGGTCCGGTTGGCCGCCTGGCTGCATCAGGCCCAGCAGGACGTCCCGCAGCTCCTGGCGGTCCCGTGCGTGGCGCCCGCAGCAGTGCAGCGCCGCCGGGTCCAGAGGGTGGGCCTCCGTGTTGAAGATGAAGCCGCCCGCCCCAAGAACGCACCCCCCCCCCTCGCCACCCTCCTCCCAGGAGCCGTCACCTTCCGCCCCCCCGCCGTGCAGGAAGTGGGCGGGGTCAAAGAGCAGGTAGAGGTACTTGATGGTCTCGGCCAGGAAGAAGGACTCCATCCGGTTGTCCAGCTGGTGATCTCGCAGGTCCTTCACCTGAGACCAGAAGGACCCGCTGGTCATCATTGCTTTTACACGATTAGTCCGTTAAATAATGAATAACGTTGGTTTCAAAATCAATTCAATTCTAAATCATCTGGTAGCAGTTTCTCCAGTTTGAAGAATTCCTGTTTTTATTATTGTACATTAAACATCTGGAACATCTTATGGGCTCAATAATCAATAAACTCCTCTGATAAATCATCTATTGGAACTATTGTTCCCAGCAGACAATCAACTAGCAAGTAGGGGCGAATATTCTGTATTCAAATATACATTCAAATGGTTGTTTTAAAAAACTAAAAACTGCGCCGCGACTGTCAGCTTAGTGGCGCCTGATATGAAACAGACCAGATCGCCTCCAACAGCTTCCTGTGCGAGCGAGAGATCTGTGCCGGTAATATGTTTAAACTTAAATCAGTTACCTATATAAGGTACATATTCAAATATATGTGTATATATATATGTGTGTTTTTTATAGCGAATATTCGTCATTTTTTAGGAATTGTGACAGCCGTCTTAGCCACTGACTTTTACAGTTCTTAATTAGGCCCAATGGCTGAATTAACAATGTAGAGACTCGTTTAAAATGAAGACTCTCATCATGTTCTCTTTCTCTTCTTCAAACAGGAGGTTTGGTTTGACTCTGCACCGCCGCCGCTAGATGGCACTAGACCCCTCCCTCCCTCCCTCCCTCCCTTCCTCCCTCCCTCCTCCCTCCCTCCCTCCCTCCGGTCTTACGCTGGCGTATCCGCAGGGTGTCTTGGTGATCTTCTCGATGGACTCGAGCGCGTCGAGGCCCAGCTGGAGGTAGGTGTGGTCGCCCGTCGCCCTGAACAGGTACATGGCGCTCTCTATCAGCTCTGCAACGGGCAAACAAGATTTTCAAAATAAAAGCCTGCAGGTTTTTCTTTTAAGTTGCGGAAGTGGTAACGTGGGGTGTGCGTGAGCGGCGCTCAGCTGGCGGACCCACCCGGTCTCAGCGGGTACCCCTCCCTCTTGTCTACCGTGTAACCCTGAGGGATGCTGTAGAACTCGGGAAGACCTCCAAACTGTCTCCACACCGAGTAGTAGTTCTGGAAGGTTCTCACCGCGCTGTCCAGGTTCCCCAGGAGGGACTGAGAGCAGAACGGACGGGAACATAGTGAGTGAGAGAGTGTGTGTCTCTGTATGTGTGTGTCTGTGTGGTGCGTACCTGCAGGCCGGGCCAGAAGGCCTCCAGAGACTGGAAGACGGGCATGGAGACCGTCCCTTTGTGCATCTGGACCCACAGGTACCAGTCGTCAAAGCGGGTAAAGTTCTGGATGGCCCGGTCGTACTCTGAGGAGAACAAACTAGATCAGCGGGTCGGTGGTGCGCTGCCTTGCTTAAGGGGCTTCCTTGTCGTCGCGGTTACCCAGGAACATGTGGAGCAGCTCCTCGTCCTGCAGCAGGATGGCTCCTTTCACCAGGTACTCAAAGTAGGAGTCCACTCCGGCGCCGATGCCGGCGTCCTGGGCAACCCACTTCTTAGACAGGACGTCGATGTGGTTCCCCACCTGGGCAGCGAGGACAGACAGGCGGGGACAGACAGGCGGGGACAGGCAGGCGGGGACAGGTGTAAAATAGGTACAATAAACTGAACTAACAAGCAGTTTGAGAGCCACTGTGTCTGTATAAAGAGGAGTGTTTCCATGGTAACGGAACTAGACAGACAGACAGACAGACAGGTGTCCAGACAGTCTGTCTCTCTTTCTCTCCCCCCCCACCCCTCTCTCCCTCGTTACCAGCTCGATGTTGGACCGGGTCCTCCACAGCGCCATTAGGGCCCGGCGGGCGGCGTCCTCGAACGCCTCGTCGCCCGTCAGCCGGCTCAGCGTGGCGAACTCCAGGATGAAGGTGCCCACGCCGGCGGTGCAGGTGACCGGCGTCTCGGTGGGACTGACCCCCCTCAGCAGGTTCACCGTGCCGTACGGCATCCCGGTGGGGGTCTGGAACGCTGGAATCAATAATATGTATTTAGAAGAAAACGGATTCACACATATTTGTGTTCAACCTTTGTCTCACCGGGTTAAACTCAAAAAACTGCTGGATCGTAAAAATGTAGTAAAAAATGCAAAAACTGCAAATTCAATAATTAGAATAAATACAATCAGATCATAATCTAGTTTAAAGAAAACTCACACTAAGGGAGCATCAGGAGAAACGCTGCAGGACCTCAGGATGACGAACATACTAATTCATCATTATTGTGTGTGTGTGTGCGTGTGTGTGTGTGTGTGTGTGCTGTATTACCAGGCAACAGTTTCCTGGCGGCCTCCTCGGCCATCCTCAGCAGCGGCCCTGAACACGGCCAACCGGGCTCCAGCTCCATCTTCGCCCTACCTGCCAACAGGTGAGCCGACAGCAGGCCGCCGACCACTGCGCACACACGCACACGCTTTGACTACTGCAAACAAAGAGGAGACGCGGTGACTCGTGGCTCACTCCGAACCTCGGATGTTGGTCTCGAACACGGAGGCGTTGACGTCGATGTCGAAGTCCACGGTGTCCTGGAGGAGCGACGCCACGCGCTGGAACTCTGTCTGGTTCCCCAACACCTGCGCAGGAACGCGCTCTTTAAACGTCACCTGAACGCAGCGTCGCTCTTGAACAGAACTTTCCACTAACAGTTATTTATTTATGTCGGGCGCTTACCAGCAGAGTGTCCAGAGCGTCGATCAGAGTGAGAGAGAAACTGGGGGGAGCGAATATCACAAGATCCCGACGTTACACAACAACACAATCTACAGCAAAAGAACGAGCTGTCAAACTAAATACTGAATTATTAAAATACATTAACAACTTCATAAAAGGGAAATATATATAACTAAGAGTTAATTCGTTGTACAAGAAAAGGTTTGTTGGGGTTTCTGTGTCTCTGTGTTTCATATTTGAGAAAATAAAATCAGACAAAAAAGGACAGTAAATAAACAACAAAAATGGAAGAACGTTTTTCCTTCCTGAACATATGTGACATTATATTTTTCTTCAGCTTTATTAGTCGTACCAAACACAAAAATGTCAGTCTACCTGCCCCAGGTGTCATGTCCATCACAGGTGAGTGGGCGGAGCTCGTCATAGGGGAAAGCGTTGTCAAGGTAACTGTTGTAGGCGTGGTAGAACATTGATTTGATGCGCTGTCTGATCAATGAAGCAGGTCACAGGAGATGATGGTTAAAGACTGAAACGCAATAAACCTGCAGCCTTGTTTATTCCACATTAATCTAGATTCATTTCGATGAATTTAAACTTATTTAGATTTATTTGGATTCATGTATCACGTGTCCTTTGTGGCATTAATGTTTGAGACTGGTCTTGACCTCAAAAGGTCTTTAGTTTAGACAAATATCAAGTTGGAATTATTTCCACTGTTTATCTAATAGTCATTACTTATAACTGACTATTAGCTAACTATTTATATTGTTTATCCATTACTTATAGCTGACTATTAGCTAAGTATTTATACTGTTTATCCATTACTTATAGCTGACTATTAGCTAACTATTTATACTGTTTATCCATTACTTATAGCTGACTATTAGCTAACTATTTATACTGTTTATCCATTACTTATAGCTGACTATTAGCTAACTATTTATACTGTTTATCCATTACTTATAGCTGACTATTAGCTAAGTATTTATACTGTTTATCCATTACTTATAGCTGACTATTAGCTAACTATTTATACTGTTTATCCATTACTTATAGCTGACTATTAGCTAACTATTTATACTGTTTATCCATTACTTATAGCTGACTATTAGCTAACTATTTATATTGTTTATCCATTACTTATAGCTGACTATTAGCTAACTATTTATATTGTTTATCCATTACTTATAGCTGACTATTAGCTAACTATTTATATTGTTTATCCATTACTTATAGCTGACTATTAGCTAACTATTTATACTGTTTATCCATTACTTATAGCTGACTATTAGCTAACTATTTATATTGTTTATCCATTACTTATAGCTGACTATTAGCTAACTATTTATACTGTTTATCCATTATTTATAGCTGACTATTAGCTAACTCTTTATATTGTTTATCCATTACTTATAGCTGACTATTAGCTACAGTTTATTCCTTACTTCGGGTATTTATTCAACTATTTTAATGGAGTGATTGTCGCCCACGTGACAACATTAAAATCTATTGACATTCACGTCACGGGCTCACTGACAGTGCAACTGTTGCTGTGCGTTTCCCCTCAAAATAAATGAATAAACACTAACGTTACATTTAACTGTGCACAGGTACAACAGAGAGGTGCGTTTAATTAACCGGAGCATTTCTGCCTCATGCTCCGTTCTACATACAGTCTCTGCAGGTGCTTCCTGTTACCTGACAGCAGCCATCTCCTCCTCGCTGAAGTGACGCGTCGTCGCGTCGCTCAGCACCCAAACAAACAGCGTCACCAACACGGGAGCGCGCATGGTGAGACGCGAGGCCGCGCGGGGGCGAGCGGCAGGTGAATAAAATAAAAACAGAAAGAAGGGAACGAAACACAGCAGCGCGGGTGGGTTTGCTGCTGTTGTTGCGTTAGCCGCCCGGAAGTGAACAATGTGCGCATGCGCCGTCCGCTGCGCGTACGGTTAACGTAAACTGTGCTGCGTTCAAGAACACAGGTTTTTTTCATCCTAAAAATCAAAACGTAAATCAGAGGGAACCGTGAGAAAATATTTAAAAACCCGAGTTTAGAAGACAGACATATTCTAGCTGCTGCTTTGGGAAACCTTGTTTTGTCCCTGAACATATAGACACGTTTTATTTGCTTGTTTAAAGGTGTTCTGTTAGTAGCGTGAGCTGCGTTCAAGAGCAGCCAAGGCGAGCACGTCCCGGCTACGTGTTAGTACGTCATCACGTCCGGTTGTTACCATGGAGACGCGGCGGACACAACTTGCGCCTTCTTAGAAAGCTGAACATTAAAGCTCCTTTCAAATAAAACGTTCTTTTCCGAAGAATTGCGTGAGTACAAACCTTTTCAATTTTTTTTGAATACATAGAAAGATGTTTATCATTTCTAATGATGCTGACCCTTTCTCACTGTAACTGTGACGTATAAAGTTAGCTTGAATTAACCGTTATTTTTCCGACTGGTGGACAAAGTGTAAAAATATCTCATCGTCTATATTTCAAAATGTTTACATACCAAAGTCTAATATAGAAGTCTGATAAATGTAACAGAAGTATCCAAAGTAAAAGTACTACAAGTGTCATCAGTTAAATGTAACGTTACTGCAGTAAAATACATCCTTCTGACACGTAACAAAGTAACTTAAGTATTAAGTAGCATATAGTAAACACAAGTCAAGTAGAAGTATGACGCCGTAGGTTATTATCACTTCACCGTACTTTCATATTGCTCACACGTTGCTCCTGGTACTTTATTTAACGTTATACCTCATAAGTATGAACCACTTAATCTAAAGTGTAACTAACGTTAAATGTTCCTCTTCACCTGCTCAGATGTTTTCATGTATTAAGAGCTACTTGAGCTGCAGGCGGTTTGTTCGTGTGAACTCTCACAGAAGATGGAGGCGGTGGCGGAGTCAGAGGGGCAAGAGGAGGTCAGAAAGGTGGAGACGCCTACGGAGGAAGAGGAGGATGATGAAGAGCCGACCACGCTGGAAGGACCTCGCTGCGTTCCAGCTCGTGAAGAGCTTCTGTGAGCGCTCACCACTTACGAACAAACACAATCACACACACGAAGAGGCTACAAATACACAAATAAATAACCACAACTACCTCCGAGTACTTTTTATAATCGTAAAGTCTCCCGTTTTTTAACATTTAATCAGACAAAACGAGCTCTTTGAACATGAGAAGGCCGAGAGAATGTGACAACATTGTGACATTTATCAAACGCAACAATCAATCAGGGCTTTTATTTCAAGATATGATTAACTAATCATTGCATTTTATTTGCTTCATTATCTCCTGGTGGGATCAGGTCACATGAGAGAAAGATTAAGTTCAGTTAGGCGTGATTCATCCGAAGGAATATTCAGGCTTTCCAAAGTTTGACACCTATTTGAAATGCACATTTCTGGTGTCGGGGGTCATGATAGTTGGTCCGATTACATCACGGTGTGTGACCAAGCTCATGTTCACGTCTGGCAGTCTGACATTGGACAACGCGGACAAGCTGTGTCCAGAGTCGTACCGGCGCAACTCCCCCAACGAGGTCCGACTGATGGCCGTCGCCGACAGCTTCCAGCGGCAGTACGCTCACCTGTGTCCCGACCGCAGGCCGCTGCTGCTCTGCCCGACCAACGAGTGGGGCGTGAGGGTGAGAGCCAATCAGAGGGGAGAATGATCCTGGAACAATCTTTGTTCTCACGTCACCTTCACCGAATCCCTGTGTGTATTTCTCTGATACTCAGAAGTTTGTGTCCACGACTCTTCGGCCCGCGGCGACGGACCACCCGGAGCTTTTCACCTGGCAGGGTTGCGCCTCCTTTGTGGCCGACTTCCTGTCTCTGGAGCCGCTGGAGCCACCGGAGAACCTGGTGAGGAACTTTACATGCTGAGATGACAGGAGGGGAGAGGGAAGCCACTGACGTTCAGTCGTCATTGCAGCAGCTGGATGTTTCTTTAATCCACTTCTCTGCGGGAAGGATTGACTCAAAGGTGACAAGTGTCCTGACCTTTGGTTTTTAGTTTGAACTCAAAAGCCTTTGACCCTTCGACTCTGCAGAAACACACTTCTACAAATCTTCTCTTCCACAATCTGTTTTCTGTTTCTGGACAAAAAGAACAATAACTGTGTTTGCACAGAGGAGCAACTTGAGATCTTTGTGCGTGTGCGTGTCTGTGCGTGTGCGTGTGCCGTGGCGCCGCAGCCCCGGTCCCTGTTCTCCTCCACCCTGGTGCTGCAGAGCCAGAGGGCCACGTGCCTGGAGGCCTCCACGCTGCTCTGCAGCCTGCTGCTCGGCGCCAACTACGACGCCTACTGCGTCAGCGGCTACGCCTCCAAGGACACGTGCCTGCTGGACCGCAGCCTGCTGCGCTGCCCCCTGCTGGGCGCCCCGCCGCAGGTACGCGCTCGCTCCCGCCCCCGCCGCGCACTAACGTGGAACTCGGCGCACATGTAACGCTTCCCGTCGCCGCGTGCAGGCCGGGACCTCGGAGCAGGAGCCCCCGGAGAACAAGTACCTGGTGAAACCTGCGACGGAGCTGAGGAGTCGCTTTGTGACGCAGCAGGAGGAGGAGAAGAAGAAGCGGGAGGCGGAGGCCGCGTCACTGGAGGAGCAGCAGGAGGTACGGGGAGGGTTCTACTGTGAGACGCAGTTCACCTGGAGAACCAAGAGCAAAACACTCATCCAGGGTGTTTCTCAGTGAAAATCATCACGTGAACTCAGTCCAACCTAAAGCCAAACCCCTTTGACCTTTCACCTCTCTGTGTCCGGGACGGACAACAGGGCGAGCGGCGAGCGGACGACCCCCTGCGGGGGCTGCGAGTGCACTGCTGGGTGCTGGTGCTGTCCGGCAGTCGGGACGTCCCGCAGAACTTCTTCATCGACCCGCTGACGGGCGACAGCCACGCCCCCGACGACCAGCGCTTCCTGGGCGTGGAGAGCGCCTGGAACCACCTCAACTACTACGTCAACATGCAGGACTGCAGCAGCGGCTGCGCAGTGGGTCCCCGGCCACACATGCGTGCGCACGTGTACACGTGTACACGTGTGCACACATGTGTCTTTGTGTGTGAGTAGGACATGGCGTTCGACCTGGAGGACCCGAGCAGGTGGGAGCCCCTCCTCTACGGGGCGCTCAGCAGGAGGACGCTGGCGCTCTGCGTCTGCAGGAAGAAGGAGCGAGAGATGATGAGCAGACTCCTCAAGAAGGAGGAGCAGGAGGAGGTGTGTATGTGCGTGTTATACTTATGTGTGTCTGAGAACAGACACACACATGTTGTTCACTGACAACATTCATTCATGGGTCATTTTACAGATTTCTCCTCTATAACTTCTATTTAGACTGACGGAAATAAATTGTTCATTTTAGGAATCCTCCTAAATTCACTGATTTATTTGCATATTTAGATATTTATGTCCTCCATATTATTCACACTTTTAGGGGGTTTATTGATTTACGTGATGGGGAAACATCTCATTATGTGTCACAGAGCTGTGGAGAGAAAACCAGAAGCCAGCTGATGTTGTTTGTCTTTGCAGGAGGACGGGGAGGAGCCTGGTGTTTTGGAGATGCCACGTTCTTGGGTCAGTTACATCGACATCTCAAAAGAAGGTACACGGTCAAGCACTACTTACTCGGCGTAGTGATCCATGATCATTCCCCTCCGAGTGAGTAACTAGATCCCCTGTTCCCCCGCAGACCTGGAGACCCGCTGGCCGGGCCGACAGGAGACCACCCGCTACAGGAAGGCCACGCTGGAGCACTTTGCTCCGCACCTGAACCCAGACGGGCTGGTCCGGAGACTCACCACCTACGAGGACCTGGCCTGTGAGCGGAGCCTCGTCGCGGCCCGGGGAAGCGTGTGGGCTTTGTAGTCTATAATAATCTGTGGAGACAAACGTCCCGTCTCTGATGTCCACTGGGGGACACGGCTCCGCTCCTGTCGACGTCCACGTCCAACTTTACCTAAAACTCTGTTAACTAATTGAATTTACTTGACTTTAAACGCATGCGTGTGTGTGTGTGTGTGTGTGTGTGTGTGTGTGTGTGTGTGTGTGTGTGTGTGTGTGTGTGTGTGTGTGTGTGTGACAGGCACTGAGGAGGTCGCGGTGAGGTCGTGGTATCAGCACAGAGACGACCACCTGCAGGAGACTGAGGTCAACGAGGTCGATAACTCGACCACACAGCGCTTCACACCTGGAAGAACCTTTGGCGTTTTATGTAAATAATTATAATTAAACCAACAATGACATTTTACGGAAACAACAGGCGTCTGTTACTGTCACAGTTCTCTGGAACCGTCATCTGAATCTGAAGTCAGAAATGTTCCAGGAAAGAACGTTGCTATGAAGTGTTTCTTTCGCGTGACTCGTGGTCTCTGGTCCCGCAGGAAGCCTCTGACCCGGCTCCTCTCCCTCGGTCCACAGGTTCTGGTCCCGCAGCAGGAAGCCTCTGACCCGGCTCCTCTCCCTCAGTCCACAGGTTCTGGTCCCGCAGCAGGAAGCCTCTGACCCGGCTCCTCTCCCTCAGTCCACAGGTTCTGGTCCCGTAGGAAGCCTCTGACCCGGCTCCTCTCCCTCAGTCCACGGGTTCTGGTCCCGTAGGAAGCCTCCGACCCGGCTCCTCTCCCTCAGTCCACAGGTTCTGGTCCCGCAGCAGGAAGCCTCTGACCCGGCTCCTCTCCCTCAGTCCACAGGTTCTGGTCCCGCAGCAGGAAGCCTCTGACCCGGCTCCTCTCCCTCAGTCCACAGGTTCTGGTCCCGCAGGAAGCCTCTGACCCGGCTCCTCTCCCTCAGTCCACAGGTTCTGGTCCCGCAGCAGGAAGCCTCTGACCCGGCTCCTCTCCCTCAGTCCACAGGTTCTGGTCCCGTAGGAAGCCTCTGACCCGGCTCGTCTCCCTCAGTCCACAGGTTCTGGTCCCGCAGCGAGAAGCACGACATGCGGTTCAGCGGCGCCGCTCGCGTGGACGGTCTGGTGAGGAGGACGTTGTCCCCGGAGGAGATGACGGAGACCTTCGAGGGCCGGAAGGACTTCCTCTTCCACCGGCACGCCGTCTTCCTGCAGGACGGACGCGCGTCCACCTCAGAGTCCACCTCAGAGTCCACCTCAGAGTCCACCTCAGAGTCCGACTCCGACTCCGACTCCGACGAGGAGGAGCAGCTGCTGCAGGTACAAACATGTCAACGAGAAGCAAAACACACGTGCACACTAGATACGTGTTGGTCACCTGCTTTACATGTACATACATGAGGATACATACAGCATGCGTTCATATTCAGACAAACAGATTTCAATACACCTGCATATACACAAAGTATACATATATATATATATATATATATATATATATATATTATATAGTGGGTTTAAATATGAAACACCCAGGTTTCGTATCACCTAATATAAGGTAAACTTAATGTATATTTGTATATATTTTATTCAACTAAACAGAGGAAGTAGAGTTTGAAGGGACTATTTTCAGGGCGGATGAATCCACTCTACAGTGTATTTACACGCGTGAGTGTGATGATGAAGACGATGAAGATGAGTGAGGCTCATTGACGTGTTTCAATGGGCTGCGATGAACACGACACCTGTGACGTTTGTTCGATAGAAAGAAGAAACAGGCGGTTTTCCATTTTCTAGTCAATAGTTGCGTGTGTGTGTGTCCGTGTGTGTCTGTGCGTGTCCGTGTGCGTGTCCGTGTGCGTGTCCGTGTGCACGCAGGAAGTGCTGGAGCGTTTCCACCGGGACCGATCCAAACCGGCCCACGCCGACGTAGCCCAGCGGGTGTTCCTGCTGGCTGAGGGGCGGATTGAGGTGACCTATCACCTGGAGGACCACAGGTGCGTCGCCTCGAGGAGGAGCTTCGTCAAACCGCTGCAGTCAAAGAGATCGAAGGCCGAGGACTTCAGACGGGACATGGTGTCCAGCTTCCAGGTCGAGAGGGCAGAGGTCACAGCCTCCTCCGAGGGAACGAGATCATTCAGAGCATAACAACACACGTGTGTGTCTGTGTGTGTGGGGGGGCAGGTAGACGCGTCTGAGGAGCCTCTGAAGAACCTGATCCTGAGTCAGATGCTGGATGACCTGATCAAGGATGAGAAGGAGGCGTCTCTCCAAATCAAAATGTCCAGGAAAGAGGTGAGTGACAAATGTGTTCATGGGTTCTGCAAATGTTCTTGTAGAGGGACGAGTCGTCCTTCACTCAGACGCTCTGCCTCTTTTTAAAGAAGGTATGACGCTCATTTCGTCCTCTTATTCATAAATAAAGTGTATTTATTAACTAATAACTTCACTGTAACTGCGTTTCTATCATTACGTAGAAGACGTTTTAGTCTCTCTTTGCTCATTTCAATACACTCTGTGTACACAAAGGTGCATTCAGCCTTTTTGTGAATTCCCCCTCGACGCCCTTAATAAAAGCATGCCCCCCCCCCCCCCCTTCATTCCCCGACTCGGGGACATCATCCTCGTGTTGTGTGTGTGTGAGCAGGTGGAGGACATCCTGTCCCGCAGGGAGACGGAGGAGCAAAGCGTCGGCCTCCACTTCTCCCCGTGGACGACGAGCGGAGCGGCCCAAGCCCGAAGCAGGAGACAGGAAATGGTGACGCACACACACGCACACGCACACGCATGCACACACGCACACGCACGCACAGTCCGCATGTTCTCCCTGTGCGTTCTCCCCCAGTCCAGAGATCTGCTGTGGGGGTCGATGGGGGACTCTGGGACCCTCTAGTGATGAGTTGGTATAGAAGATGGCTGAGGGACCCACACACTGAATAAATCCCATTCACGGAAAAACATTTATAAAAGTAACACTTTGCAGCGGCTGACGAGGACTTGGGCTCCTTCTCTGCGCCGCTGTAGGAGCGCCAGGCCGAGGAGGAGCAGACGTGGCTGCAGGAGAGGAAGACGGACGTCCTGGCACCGCTCCTGATCCCACTCGGTGACCCCGAGGCTCTGAGCGCCGAAGACGCCCGGCGGCTTTACCTGCAGTGTTTGGCGGAGAGCAAATGGAGGCTGCTGGAGAAGGCCGAGCTTATCCAGCAGCGCTTTGAGCAGGTAGGTCAAAAACGGTTTTGAAAAAAAGTAAAGAAATATGATGTCAAAAAACGTTTTGGGGGGAAAAAAAGAAGAAAAAACAAAAGAATGAAAAATTTGGCAAAAAAATATTTTGAAGGAAAATTCAACATATCAAAACAAACAAACATATCTGGTCAAATTTCAGGTAAAACTCAAAAAAGTCAAAAAGGTGCAAAAATGTCATGGAAGGAAAGTCAAATGACATTAATCAATAAAATATATTTTTTTAAGAATTTCAAACATGTAAGGTCAAAAAATGTTTAAAAAGTATAGTTAAAATACGTTGTGTTATTCAAATGAAACGCTCCATCAGATCATTTAGAGCAACACAATAGGATCATGACTATTCAGATGACATGTGCAGCTTCTTCACCAGAGGTCCAAATGGACAGCTTTGATTCTGTACATGGTGCATCCATGGGGACGTGGGCACCTTGACATGTGCTGTTCTCGTATCTGTGTGTAAATCATTTAGGAGACACAAGAGCTGCAGAGGAAACAGCAGTGGTACCAGAAGAACCAGCTCCACATGGCGCTGCTAGAAAGGGAAGAGTACCAGAAATACTGCGCTGAGAAAACACTACGAATAAGTGTAGCCAAGAAACGCCTCAGCATGTACGTACACACGCACACGCACACGCAGGTCATCTGCGTATTCCAGCCCACATGGTAAGATTGGCCTGATAAGGTGAATGCGTTTATATATTTCAGGCACGTGAAAGCAGCTCCTCTGGAGTGTCAGAAACTGGATGAGAGGCTGAGAAATGACCCTCGACTGGCCCCCCACCTGCTCACATGAGTCACACGCCTGCCTTCTTGTGTATGACTTCTCCCGCTTGCATGAAGAATGTGCTCTATAAACATGTGTTTCTGTTGCATGGGTTGTGTGTCTTCATTATAAAGTCTGTGTGAGATGAAAATGACTCCTCTCAAGCTGCGCGGCGCTGATAACACAACACGCTCACCGATAACCGACAAGACTTACACGTGCAAAAAGAGACAAAAAACACCACACACACACTCAAAAGGACCACAGAATGAAAACAAAGAAACACAACGTGACTACATCAAACTCATAATGTGAAGTGAAGAGGGAAGAAGAGGGATGGAAAGGAACTACAAAAAGGCACAAAATTACAACATTAAGTGGCAAAACAAGCAGAAAGAGACACAATTTCACTGCAAAAACGAGCAAAAGATAACGAGGGCTGCATGTCTGTGCTCATTGTCGCATCATCTCTCCATGTGCACGATGTGGAAAGGACCAAAAACTAGATAGGTAGTTCTCCAAAATATGAAACAATATCTTAAAAGTCACATAAGAGAAGGAAACATACAAAGATACTGGTTTTAAGATAGTAGGACATTATTTTGACGGTTCTCGTTATTTTGAGTAGCTATCACTATTTTTAAATATGAACAAATTATTTACTCATACATTTTGTCAAATTATTTTGCCATTATTCTTTATCACACTGACCATTATTTTGAGACCCAGTTACCGCCCCGCCCCCCCCCAAAAAAACACAGCTGAGACGGTAACCGTCCGCGCATGCGCTCTGCGGACATCACAGTATGAAGAAGAGTGAAGTGTGCAAGTAGCGCAAGAGGTAAACAAGCTTTTGTGATCCCCGTTAACTCCTTTTACGGGCCGTAATGACGTTAATAGAACGGCGATAAGTTGTTACAGCTGAGGACTTCCTCGGGAGCTCACTGGGTTCGTGTCACGGACACTTTTCAGCTGGAACGCAATTAGCATTCACCATTAGCTGACGGCTAACTGTGTAGCATTCAGCATTAGCCTACGGCCAACTGTGTTAGCTCCACTCCACAGTCAATGGAGGAGAGACAGCTACCCTGTTTAACATTTGCCCGCGCACGTCCCGACGCAGGTGTAGTTCACGCACGGGTCATTTTGGAGCGTTTAGCGTGTCGCCCCGTGTCATTTTGTCGCTGCTCGGTGGAGCTAACACAAATTAGCATTAGCGATTTAGCCACTGTCAAATATCTGGAGGGGGGTGGAGCTTGTTTGACTGCCAGCAGAAACACCCAATGAGAATGCTGAGGAGGCGTCCTCCGCTGGCCTTTAACCAATCGGCTTCGCTCTAAGACGAAGCTAGCGGATCAGAAAAAACAAACTAAACGTAATATTTTTGGTTTAAGTAAATAAAGTAGTTAAAATTACGTTTTGTTGCCGGTGTATGCTCTGACTCATCCACTCCGCATTCGTGGTAACTTAAGACACTAAAAGTTTGCTTGAAACCATCAAAAACCACCAAACCGTCAAGTCGTCATATGTCATGACGCGCCGTGTCACGTCACCGCCTTGCGACACGTGCAGTTTACTTCTGAACTCACCAAAACAGCTGTTCCGTCTTCTCAAGCTGATCTTATAACATATAAACATCTTTAACTGATCAGGTTAAGTTGCTTTTGTACAATGGTGAGACTTTAAACCTCAGCTACCGTCCAGCGCTTTTGGGCTCATTACAGCTCCTATACTTGATAAAAAGTATTAATACATACTAATGCATCGTGAAAGTACTCATGAAAGCTACAAATCATCTAAATGTACTGAAGTATTGATTTAGTTTGTTTCTGCTGTTTGTTGCATGTCACCTCCTTTATAACCTGCTTAGTAACCCATGCATCACGTTATATGAGGTCATCATTGCAGCGCCGCTGACCTGTGAGAACCTCCTCTTCACCCTTCAGTTCATAACCAACACGCATGTTAAAACGCCTCCAGAGTGCACAAGAAGTTAAACGATTGAAGTGATATTTTTCTCCCTTTTTGATGAAGATGAAGACTCCCCCGGACAGGTCAGGAATCACCTTTGAGGTTGGAGCTCAGCTAGAAGCCCGAGACCGCCACAAGAACTGGTGTGGACCACACACACACACACACAGCCGCTAACGACTGGTGATGCAAAGTCTATATCTATATATATATATATATTTATATTTTATATGTGTTTTTAATATCTTCTTTTGTTAGGTACGCGGCCACCATCGAGAAGATCGACTACGACAAAGAGCGGATTCAGGTCCACTACCGCCAGTGGAGCCGTCGGCACAACGAATGGTTCCACTGGACCTCGCCCTACCTGAGGCCGCTGGAACGAGTCAGTCTGAGGAGGCGGGGCCTGAACCCGGCGAGCTCACTGCCGGTACGAGCGCTGCTGCCGGGTCAGATCCAAATAGTCTGGACCGGAATCTACCTGCTGTGTGTGTGTGTGTGTGTGTGTGTGTGTGTGTGTGTGTGTGTCATTCAAATCATCTAGCTGATGCTTTTATCCAAAGCGACAATAAGTGCCTTTCAACCATTAGAATACAGACACAAAAGAAAAAGAAACCCGAAAGAACAATTTCATCAAATAAGCCGATGTACAACTTGCTGTAGATAAGAACCATTATAAGTCCAATGTAAGTGCTCCAGTTAGTTAGTGTGTTAGTGGAGGTAGAGTGTGAAGAGGTGTGTCTTTAGTCTGAAGATGTGAAGGTTCTCTGTGGTCCTGATGTCTTCAGAGACCTCCTTCCACCATTTAGGAGCAGGACAGCAAAGAGTGGAGATCTAGTCGAGTGTTTTGCTCTCAGTGAGGAGGAACAAGCAGTTTATCACATGCAGAGCGGAGAGGTCAGAGGTCGGGATGTCGGGTTGGACCAGGTCCTGGATGTAAGCTGGACCCCATCCATTCACAGCCTGGTACGTGAGCACCATGTTTAGAACTGGATGAGCCACCGGTACCAGTGAAGAGAGCGGAGGAGTGGAGGAGTGAGGGAGAACTTAGGAAGGTTAAAGACCAGTGGAGCTGCTGCATTCTGGATGAGCTGCAGAGGTGGGATGGTGGTAGCAGGAGACCTGCAGGAGAGAGTTACAGTAGTCCAGGAGGGAGACGACAAGAGCCTGAATCAGTACCTTCTGAGTGAGAAGAGGACGTGTTCTCCTGATGTTGTAGAGCGAGTATCTACAGGATGGTGTTGTCAGTGATGTTGGAGTCAGGGAGTTGCCACAGTTAACCGTTAGGTCCTCACCTGTCTTTGTCTCCCTCTCAGATGTTCGTCTCAGGGTCAAAGGTTATGGCCTGTTGGACCGACTGTCGTTTCTACCCGGCCAAAATCCTCCGAGTCAACAAGGACGGTGAGCTTCTCTTCGGCACCTGAATGGGTCAAAGTTCATCTCATTCTGTCAATCTGTTTTCAGTCATTTAATCAGGAAAAAGAATCAACAAGTATTACAGAAAAAAGTCTATTTTGTGGAAAATATTTAAAGATGTAAGGACGACTCCTCTGGTTTTTGGGAAAAATAACAAATAAGTGAGTGAATAATCGAAACGTGTGTGTGTGTGTGTGTGTGTGTGTGTGTCTGTCAGACTCCTACACAGTGCGTTTCTATGACGGGGTGGTTCTGACTGTGAAGCCCACCAAGGTGAAGCCTTTCCAGGAAGTAAGAAACGTTCCCATTGGTCCTCGTCTGATTGACCAACAATCACATCTCCTGTGATCTCAAAGATTTGTTTGTTTTTGTTTTTTGTTGACACAGAAGTCCAGATCTGAGAAGAGCGCGGTGGGAAGCGAGGGATGGGAGGAAGGAGAGAGCGAAGAAGAGGAGGAGGCTGGTGGACAGAGAGTGGAGGAGGAGGAGGAGGAGGAGGAGGAGAGGAATGAGGAGGCCTCGGGGGAAAGGGAAGGAGCTGGAGAAGGGGAGGAGGAGAGGAAGAGGAAGGCTGAACCTTCATCCTCCCATCCACCAGCAAAGAAAAAAACAGACAGTGAGTCACGTGACCGGAGGACAAACATACATGTACATCTCAGTAATACCACTCATTTATGAGTGATGAAGTGATGCATTGTGGGTGAGCCAAGTCCCCTTAATGTGACGGCGAATTACAGCCATTGTAGGTAAAAAAAAAAAACTTAATTTTCTGAGAATCATTGTCATCTGTATCATGATCGGCTCTTATGGATCATTGACAAACAATAAATGGTGACGGAGGATGAAACCATATGATTCTGATCTGTAAAACTTATATTTGCGTATATTTCTTCTTCTTTCGTGCTGATCCGATCCGTAAGTTCTATGATCCGTCCGCTGATTCTAATCCATTGATCTTCTCTCAGGTCGAATTGGTGCAGCTCAGAATCAGCCAATCACAGCTGACTGCACCCAACCAGAACCTGCTAGCCCCGCCCACGTGGACAGAGGTAACCTTCAGCTGCATCACAACTATAGTGGTACAAATATACGTTTTTGTATTTAAATTATTAATTATTATTTTAGCTACTATTTGTTCTATTGAAACTATTCAATCATATGAAATCTCTCTGTGCGTCAGACGTCCTGTTGGAGCGTCAGGCTCACCTGCCCACCACTCACAAATTCAGCAGAGAGCCTCGTAAGTGAACTATATCATTGAATTAATTCATATAATACTGTGAAATCATGCATTGAGTATTATATGTAAATGTGCGAATATCAAAGGTAATTTGTTCATTGTTTCTCTAAAATGTCACTCTCAAATGTTATATATATATCTTAGTCTACAGGGTGATTAAGAACCAGCCACCTCCCATCCTCTCCATCGAGCTGGACCACAACCCCTTCAAGTGCCCCGCTGATGGCTGCTCCAAGTCCTTCCGGAAGGCCAGCCTGCTGCACTACCACATCAAGTACTACCACTCGGACCAGCCGCCGGACGAGCAGCCGGAGACGCCCAGGTGGGTGTTCGCCGGTTCGATTTTTATCCAGTGGCATTGGAGACACGGTGGTCTTTACTTCTTGACCTCCTGTGCCGTTGCAGGAGGAAGAGGTCGTCCTCCAAGGGGAGCGACTTCCTGTCCGACGGCAAGGGCGAGGAACAGGAGGCCTGTCGCCACGACGACAGACAACGGGGCATTGCGGAGGCGGGTAGGTTGGACCCTTTTAACCGACGTCTGTTTATAATAAATCAGAGAAGCTACGACTGAACGTCAGGAAGTGGACGCAGAGCGGCGAGGAGAAGCTGCGAGTAGAGGATGTGGAAAGAATGAAATATTTATAAAACACAGAAACATGAGCAGTGATTTAAATGTGTTTAAATCTGTCAATACGTTCACTTGTGTTTTCGTTTCCTCTGTCTGTTTGCAGAAGTGAAGAAAGAAGGCGAGAGAAGCGGAGACCAGGACAGAAAGGAGAGGAAGAACTTCCTGAGGGTCAAACTGAAGAAGAAAAAGAAGAAGAAGAAGAAGAAAAAAAGTCAGGCAGGTGAGCGACGGTTGATTGGTCCCCTGACTGCTCCTCACCCTCCAATCAGTTTAGGATAGAATAAAGAAGGAGCTGAGTCATCGACCAGTAAAGTGACTGTGATGAAATCACAATAAATGATGGTGGTTTGATGTCTTTTTGCATCTCCACACATCGCTCTGTCCGTCCTTCCTTTGCTTCCTGTCTGTGACTCCTCTCTCAGGCCTCGGCAGCAGCGACGAGGAGAACTCCGATCGACCCGCCATCACGCTGACGCTGTCGGCTGGACCCGAGCACGAGCTCCCGCGAGGTGAGCGCGCTCTGTCGGATTGAAAAGGTTTCATTGACCGCAGAGAAACGAGCTGCAGGTAAACACGCCGACTCCCCCCCTTCTCCCCGCCCCCCCTTCCAGCCGACGACGGCAGCGACTGGTCGACGCTCACGGCGGAGAGCGGCGAGGACACGCCCACCTGGCACGATGCCATGGAGACGGAGGAGTGCGAGTTGGTGAGGTGTGTGTGCGAGGTGGACGAGGAGAATGACTTCATGATCCAGGTGAGACTCTCTCACACACACACACACACACACACACACACACCCTGAACTTTGACCCCGACAGCTCGGTTCTGTCTGCAGTGCGAGTCGTGTCTGTGCTGGCAGCACGGGACCTGCATGGGTCTGTATGAACACAACGTGCCACACAACTACACCTGCTACTACTGCAGACACACGGCAGGTAGGACCTCCCCAAATATACCGCTTCAGCTCATCAGATCTGGTCTGAGCTGCTCAGTGAAACCAGGTCATCAGGGGAGGGTGATTATAATTCATATTTAGAATATAAGTGAGCGTGTTTGTGGGTGTTTTCCAGGCTGGAGGCGGGCCCAGCGCTTCTTGTCAGAACCTGATTTGCTGATATCGGGTCACATGTTCGGCCTCTCGTGCGTGAAGGAGAACTACTCGGAGACCAACGCCGCCACCATCTCGCACACCAACAGCCTGCTGGCGCACACGCACGCCCTCAATCAGGTCCTCAGCGGGCTGCAGCTCAAGATCAGCCTGCTGGAGTGAGTACGCTGACGCGGCGTGAGGCGGCTCGACGGCTCGATTCCCCGCCACAAAAATAAGATTCATCTTCTGTCCGTTTGCAGCACGCCGTCCCACCCGGACCTGCAGTTGTGGCGGTTGCCGTGGCGGCGGGAGGAGGGGTTGAGAGCGGCGGGCGGTCCGAGAGGTGAGCCGCCCGTCTGCTACGTCAGCAGCGAGCACTGCTACCAGAAGCCCGGTGCATCGTGGGAAAAGGCGCAGGCTGCAGTGAAGCAGCAGCAGGAGGAGGAGATTGACCTGAGGGTAAAAAAACAAACAAAGCTCTACACTTTATTTAAAATGAGAACTGCAGACATCCTGTTATCCCCTCAGTCAGGAACGAGGAAGTATAAAGAGTGATTGTAACGTCAAAGGGGACCTCAGGTGACATAAGCGAGGTTCTCCAGGTGACCTTTTCATCACTGATTGCTTGTTGCTATGAGACCACCGAAGAACCAGTTTGAGCTTCATTCTGGTAAATGTGGGAACTATTTTTACCAGAGTGTGAGTTCTCTCAGACGAAAATCACTTTTGTCGGCATTGTTTTTACGTGACAAAGCAGAAATTGCTGACTTTTTTTTTTCCAGGGAATAAAGCCCGAAGCCGTCGACCAGAATCCGAATGACGTCCCCACGGATGCCAACGTCGCGGCACACACGGACCGACGCCAACACGCACGTGCCCAGACGTGCCCGGCGCCGGAGGCCGAGTGTCAGCTGAACCTGCTGGAGCACGTGGAGTCCCTTCACCACCAGATCAGCGGCAGGATGGATGTGATAGAGCGGGAGCTGGACGGTAACGCCCACACTTTATACATTCATTGAACATCTTAAGGGGGGGGGGGGTCGCCTCCATGGACCCCTCCTTCCCCCTCATTTAATAATAATAAATAATGATAATGAATTTGATCAGATACTGGATGATATTCTCTCTCTCTGCTCCCCTCTTCAGTCTTAGAGTCCTGGTTGGACCACTCGGGCGAGCTCGAGCCTCCGGACCCTTTGTCCCGCCTTCCACAGCTCAAACAGCGAATCCGGCGGCTGCTGCGTGACTTGTGCACCGTGAGACACCTGTCGGTCTGGCGATGACGCTCTCTGCTCCAGAAAAAAACAACAACCCATTGACCTTTGATTCTGCAAGTGTCTGCCAGCCAGACGGAGCAGAGCGACAAACGGACCGTTAGAGAGTGAGTCGTAGAGCGAGTTGACACTCCGGGTCTGGAGAGAGGAAACGGGGTGAGGACGGGTGTTGATACCACAGGAAGCCACCCTCCCCGAAGGGGAAAAAGACTTATGTTTTTATGTAAGGTGATTTTGTTGATTTTTTTTATTGGCCTGGTCGAAGTTAACGTGCATCACTCTGACTGTTAGGGCGCAGCGTTAGCATCAGACTGACTGTTCATGTGCAGCGTTAGCATCAGACTGACTGTTCATGTGCAGGGTTAGCATCAGACTGACTGTTCATGTGCAGCGTTAGCATCAGACTGACTGTTCATGTGCAGCGTTCGCATCAGACTGACTGTTCATGTGCAGCGTTAGCATCAGACTGACTGTTCATGTGCAGCGTTAGCATCAGACTGACTGTTCATGTGCAGCGTTAGCATCAGACTGACTGTTCATGTGCAGCGTTAGCATCAGACTGACTGTTCATGTGCAGCGTTAGCATCAGACTGACTGTTCATGTGCAGCGTTAGCATCAGACTGACTGTTCATGTGCAGCGTTCGCATCAGACTGACTGTTCATGTGCACCGTTAGCATCAGACTGTTAGCTTCTGCAAGTTTCTCAATTCAGCCATTTAGTTTTTAGATTGGAACCGAGTAGAAAAGAGAGTTCATTTTAAAGGTCCGGTTATTGAAGCAGAATTTATTTGTGCACCTTTTGTGAAAGCTGAATGACCACTAGCATCAGATCAATGTCTGTTTGGAGATTTTGGTTCATTTCACTCAGCGCTGTTTGGTTTGCTTGTAAACAACACAATATTTGTACCCATAGCGTGTCATAAACATCACTAACGTAGCTTAAAGATAATCAACGCTGGGACACAAACATGGACTGTTTGTTTGGACTGTTCCAGCGTTTTGTCGCTGTCTGATTTCATTTATTTTCTCTTTTAGATGTTTGTTCATCAGGTTGTTTTTAGTTAATTTCCTCTTCTACTTCCTTTTCTAGATTTGTGTTTATTTTTTATTCTTAAACGTCTCCTCACATTACAGAGGACAAACGATGAGCACGGAAGTTAACTTTTGACCTTTATGTGTAACAAACAATCTCCACAGGAGCATTTAGTGTCCCAGAACTTTCAGCTTTCCACGGCAGTTTAATCTCCACATGCGCATACAAATACATTACAGACAAATAAAACATATGTAAATATGTCAAAGTATATGTTTCATACAGTTGTAAAGGAAGCGAACTGTACAAAGCTGTAGATTTATTTTCATAGGTGGGTGGGGAAGCGGGTTGGTTACCTTTTAGGATCCCGAGAGTGTTTTGGTAGAAGAACAACGCAGAGCGTCAGTTTCCTCCATACGGTGCGTTCAGGCGCCTCCTCTACAGCCGGCCGGGTCGTTTTAACCCAGACGTAAACACAGGGTTCTGTTTTGCTGAGTTTTGGAGGAGGAGCCTGAAGGCAACACAAGTTCATGTGAAGTCAAAGGTCAATCCTTTATTTTCTGAAGAAAAACTCACACTTTGATTTAAATGTGTTCCCGTCTGTGTGGATGTTCTCTGCCCCCCCTCAAAATGCTCTGCCAACCAAACTGTAGAATCTTTATGAATATTAAAAGAAAGAACCATTATTCTGTGTTTTATTTGGTTTCTGTTGTGAGGTTTCTCTCCATCGGTTCTGATGGATTCGGGTGCTTAAATCTTTTTTTCTAAAAGTATTAGAATCGGTCTTAAAACTACTTTTGTGTTTATTTATTAATTAATTTTAAAATCATCAATAACCAGTCTGAAAGAAACAAATTACAAAAGGACATTTAAAGACTATTGAAACCCTCGTTAGAGTTAAGAGAATAGAACGGTAAAAGCTGGACGAGAATAGGACTTAAAACTTGAATTCATTGTTTTCACGTGGTGAGTTTGTCTGATGGAGACTCAAGCTTTATGTTTCTGTTTTATATGTTTAAAATATGAGTTATTCCATGATCTTAAATCAGAAAATGAATTTGAATCATCTGCACAAATGTTTGTTTCATTAGAAACTACAGAGAATTACAGTTGAAACTTTGTCATTGCTTTTCTCCCTCTTGTGAACACAATATTAATGTTGTGTTCTAATCGGTCCAGATGGCCTCTCGGTTTAGTCCACAGGCCCCTCGTTGTGTGTGTGTGTGTGTGTGTTGCATAACACCCCCCCTTCGACGTACGCTCCGCTGAACAGAATCCTGAATATGGATTCTCCAGTTCTGTTCTGTGGACGTGTCTGTTGGGATTCCCGGGTAAAACCTGATGGCCAGTGACCTCCTTCGGGTCCCGCTGGGGCTGATGGGAAGGTCGATGCTTCTGCTGGAGTTGAACCACGAGAAGATGTTGATGATGGAGCCAAATAAAAAGCCACTTTTTCATCACTTTTTGATTGTTTTGTTTTGCCCTCAAGTCAGACATTTTCTTTTTGGATTGCATCTGAGCAGAAAAACACCCAAATCCTTTTGATTTTATTTAATTGGTCAGTTATGCACCTTTTTATAAACGATGAACGACCACTAGCACCAGCTCAAGGTGTCTCTGAGCTGCACTTCCCTCGCAAGCATTCAAATTTCTTCAGCTTCAATGGTCTGTTTAGTTACTGCATTCTGTGTAGTGACCAGCAGGGGGCGACTCCTCTGGTCACATAGAAGTATGTGAAATGACTACTCTTGTTTATTCCCTCAGTAAACAATAAACAGGAGTTTATGGTCTCAGTCTCTAGTTTCACGTCTTCAATACAGAATGATGTTCATTTAGTAAATGATGGTCCATTTAGAGTAAAACAGGCCGTAAAGCAGGAGATGTTTTAGGGCGGGGCTTGTTGTGATTGACAGGTCTCTACCGTTCAGTGGATTATGCTTTGAAGAAAACTGGGCCTTTAAATAGCTCTTGTCTTTGTGCTTAGTTTTTTTTAATATCTCAAAACCACTAGTGGAAAATGTTCAACTCCAAAAGGTGGTGAGTTTCATGTATTTATAAATCACACTTTCTGTCTCTGAATCTGGGTTATTATCCAACTGCAACTTTTCTTTCTTTCATTTGAAACTCCGCCAGGATCGTTAACTGTTTTATTTTCTCTTCCTGCCAGAAAAAAAAAAGAATCCAAAACAAAATAATTATCCATCTGGCTTTAATTTTACTCCTACATTCATGTGATAAGAACATAACTGTTTAATATTGTGTTGTATGGTTATTATACTTTTTAATACTGTTACAGTTTCAGTAATAGTATTCAACATTTGTTTAGCAGTATGTTTTATCATGATTTAATACTGTATAATAATGTCAATGCGCTGTTTAATACTGTTAATTTACATTTCACTAGTTTGACACTACTGATGTTTATTACAATTTAATACTGCTACATATATTTTATTCAATACTGTGCAATATGTTGTACACTGTTTAGTAAGGTTGAATACTGATAAATGTCGTTAAATTGCTGTTAGATACACCAAATACTGTTAAATATACTTAAATAGGATTAAATCTTATGGAGCCGTTACTCGCTGTGGGTGATAATGTGGTGACGCGTTGTTTACGGTGATGTAGCCCCGCCCCTCACCGCCCGCGTGCAGCTGACAGTCGGTGCGCGCACTCACGGACAGAAGCCTCGCGAGCCGCTCGGTGCCCGTTGACGCACTAAACCAGACCTACCGGATAGGATCGGGATCTACCGGATAACGGTGACTGAAGAGGAGCCCGCGGAATAAGCATCTGACGGTCAGTAGCTACCGGCGCCTCTGTCGCCATGGTAGCGGCGGCTAACTTTGCTAAGCTAGTGACGGTAACGGCCCTTTGGCTGTGACTAGCTCCCCTTGCTAACGGCACTGCCGTGCTAAAGAGTAACTAGCCGGTGACCCGAGTTATATCCTCGTGCGGCTCAGCTCCTGTGGCGATGGCGTTTTGGTGTGTGTGTGTGTGTGTGTGTGTGTGTGTGTGTGTGCGCGCGCGTGTGTGGTTCGGGTCACCATGGAGGTGCGTGTCTCTCCTTAGTAACGGTTGCTAACCTTTCAGCTGTCCGTTAGATTCCCGGGCGTGTGTGCGTTCGTGCTTGCGCGTGTGTGTGTGTTTTTTGTGTGCGTGCGTGTGTGTGTGCGTGCGTGCGCGTGCGTGCGTGTGGGCGAACAGCGGAGCCCAGCACCAGTTGAGCTGCATGGAAACAACCTCACAGAATATTAACTGTTTAATACTGTGTTATATGGTTATTATACTTTTTAATACTGTTACCGTAAATGTAAATGTCAATTTTATAGAAAATGTCAAATGCAGTATGTTTCTGTATACCCTTTTTTACCGACGTATATTTTCACTGTTTTAACTGCATATATAAATGTTGCTGTTGCAAAACAGAAGTAAATATGTACCTACAGTATCAATAAAACATGTGTTTTATCTGTTTATCTGTAGCTGAGAAACTATGAAACGAAGGACGTATCAAAGCAATACAACTTTCATTTTAGTATTTTAGAACACACTAAATCACTTCTAACAGTGTAACATGAGTTTTTGTTTAAGCTGCATTCCATATATTTGATCGGCAGTGTCAGAGATACTTTTATACTATATTTACTTTATCTAGTTATGAGATATATTTGAATGATGAAGTGCGACCTTGTGCTGTGAGCCGTACGTCTCATCTGTGCTGATTGGATCTGCTGGGGTCGGAGCCAGAAGGCTGATCATCCATCCACAGAGCTGTGCTGCAGCACTGTTACCCAACATGTCTGCCCACACACACACACACACACACACACACACACACACACACACACACACACACACACACGGCTTGGGTCACTGCCAATCAGAGATAGCTGGCTGTTTCCATTAGGTTCACTCGGTTGGATAACACTGTTGGACACCGGTGAACGACCAGAGAAACAGACAGGCAGACAGACAGACAGACAGACAGACAGGTGGCAGAGCTATAGAAGCTTTTTTGGCTTTTGTCTTATTCGAGAGACTGAGGTTTATGTCACTCAATGTTTACTGAGGGAATAAATCCAGAGAGAAGTAGAGTCATTTCCTCATAGACGTCTATGGGAGCAGAGGAGTCGCCCCCTGCTGGTCACTACAGAGAAGTAGAGTCATTTCCTCATAGACGTCTATGGGAGCAGAGGAGTCGCCCCCTGCTGGTCACTACAGAGAAGTAGAGTCATTTCCTCACAGACGTCTATGGGAGCAGAGGAGTCACCCCCTGCTGGTCACTACAGAGAAGTAGAGTCATTTCCTCATAGACGTCTATGGGAGCAGAGGAGTCGCCCCCTGCTGGTCACTACAGAGAAGTAGAGTCATTTCCTCATAGACGTCTATGGGAGCAGAGGAGTCGCCCCCTGCTGGTCACTACAGAGAAGTAGAGTCATTTCCTCATAGACGTCTATGGGAGCAGAGGAGTCGCCCCCTGCTGGTCACTATACAGAATGCAGCCTTGAAAGACAGTAAACTCTCCCTTTAGCAAACTGTGTGTGATTAACTCAAATGTTGCTTAATGCTGCTATTGTGTCGATTAGTTACATTGAATTATAAGCTATTTTAGATCTTCCTTTTTAACAGAAAACATGTACACAATCATACTGTTAATCCATTTCTGTTACATCCTCCGTTATTAGGACAAAACCCCAGACCGGTGGACTGGGACGTTTTGATAGGTGTCTAACCCTCTGTCCGTCCCTCTTCTCTACATCCGTCTGCCAGGCGTCTTTTACCAAGCTGACTGGCAGCCCAGCCCATGATGGAGGAGCTTCACGACGTTCAGCTGACGGAGATCAAGCCGCTGTTGACAGGACAGGTGAGGTGGAGGGGGTGGCGCTCAGCTGGGCTCTATGTAGCACAACAGCTGTTTGTATGACCGTAAACAGATTCATGCCATGGATGCTTTCATTTTATAACGCTAATTATGTCTCTTCAGAACGGGAGGAACCTCCAGGACTTTGACTGTCAGGTGAGTTCAACGTAGCTTCTCCATCATAACGTTTGGAAAGATGGGCTCATTATTGCTTTATGATTTATGATGATCAATATGAGAAGAGTTAGGGTCCATATGATGTGTTAACCCTCATAAACAACTCGGTTTGTGTGTTTCTCCTGCTTCTGATGAGGAACTGAAGCTGTTCGCTGCATTGATGAATCAGGGATGCAAACAGCGCTCAGTCTGGACTTGTGTTAATCGTGCTGATCCAAATAGTTTTTTTAGGGGGGGGTCTGATTATAATTTCATCAACAGTAATTTGGCGCCAACAGCTGACGAACAACAATGCAGAGCTCTCAAGTGCCACACATTGAGCGTGACAGTCACTCAGTCATTTGGGTGTTTAGTCACGCAGCCAATTTGTCACGCTAAAAAAAACAAATCAGACTTCGGTCCGAGCCTCGTTGGTTCCTCTCCAAGCCCCCGCCGGGCGTAGCGTCCGCGATGACCCACAACAGACACCGACAACTCCTATGATCTCATACGGTAAAATCCCTGCCTGTGTGAATAGAGCCTGTTGTCTTTAAAGAGAGAAGAAAGAGGGAAAGATATTCTAAATATAGCATACACCTGAAACCGGTCATTGGCTCCTACAAAATAAGAGCATGTAGTTGAACTTAAATGTGAACACTTGATCGTCACTTCACGTAACTTCTCTCCCTAAAATGATCGGAGCAGTGCGTTGAGTTTTTTTTATTAATTTCTGCAAAAGATGTGAAGAGCAGTGTGTGAACCATCGGGCTGAAGTTAGTGTGACATCCATCAGCACCACACACAGATATTGATGAGCAAGACTCATCGGACCAACGTCAGTACAGCAGGTCAGTTTCAATCAATAAACTACGTTCAGATAGATCTTTTAAAATAGAGCACAGAATCATTTGAAGTCGTATTATTATCATCATCCTTATTGTCCTCTAACCAAATACATTTCCTTTATATAATTTTAAGATTATAAAGTACATTTCTTAATTTTTTTCTGTAGTTTTTCTTTGTAAATTAAGGTCTGATCTATATCTAAATTAGATCGTAATTCACCGTCGCCTGTGATTTATGTCATAATATACGGCCAGTATAAGTGAAGACATGATGGATGGAAAAAGAGCAACAGGTGGTTTTCTCTACAGTTTAAGACCTTTGTCCTCTCAGTCAATGGCTGCAGAGATTACGGCTTCATTAAAGGACCGCTGACCTCAATCTCTCTCTCTCTCCCCGTGAATCCTCCTCTCCTCTCTGGTCAGGATGTCTGACTCTGGATTTGCACCAGTTAGCCTCTCGTTCCTTAAGACGCTGGCATGCGTCTGCAACTGCGTCTTTACGCACCGTCATGTCGACGCACTGGTTTCACTTCCTGGTTGTAAAGTCCTGCGTGTGTTGCAGAGCGATTCACCTCCAGAACAACAGGTGGAGTCACGTGTTTTGTTGAAGACGACCTGGAGAGTCACGTCTTTGTGTGTGGAAGTCGCTGGTTGCTTTATTTATTGATCATAGACTTTATTGCCCCGTGCATCCACACTGCTGCTCTTCATCAAGGACACATTTGTCCCGTATTTTCCTCCACGACTTTGTTCCCCTCGTTTGTGGAGATCTCCCTCCATGAATCAGAGGCCATCCGGCGTCCTCATAGTCCGCCAGTGACGGCTTGTACAAGCGCTCATATTTACGCATTTCTTCCCACAAAAGCTCTTCAATCTGATTTATTCTCCCTTCAAAAATGGCAGCATTGTGCAGTGAACCTGTAAAGGACGTAGTTAGCAGACCAATCACAGCGTGAGGCTTGTGTAGCTTTTGACGGTAGTCTAGAAAAATGGGTCAACGCACGCAAAAAGGGGTGAAAAGGCACGCAAGGGGCTCTTGCGTGTGCGTGTCCCTGCCTTTCTCTGAAAATTCTCCATAAACTAGGTCCTAGCCAGTTAGCCTCTCGTTCATTAGCCAGATAGCCTCTCGTTCATTAGCCAGTTAGCCTCTCGTTCGTTAGCCAGTTAGCCTCTCGTTCATTAGCCAGTTAGCCTCTCGTTCTTTAGCCAGTTAGCCTCTCGTTCGTTAGCCAGTTAGCCTCTCGTTCATTAGCCAGTTAGCCTCTCGTTTGTTAGCCAGTTACCCGCTCGTTCATTAGCCAGTTAGCCTCTCGTTTGTTAGCCTCTCGTTTATTACATTACATGTCATTTAGCTGACGCTTTTATCCACAGCGACTTACATTACACTTTAAACCCGTGGCTTTTACATTTTGCCCGGGGAGCAACTAGGGGTTAGGTGTCTGGCTCAGGGACACTTTGACTTGAGACATGGGGCAGCCGGGACTCGAACCTCCAACCTTGCGCTTCCGAACGCATCCGCTCTACCCCACAGTTTATTTACTTGTTAACCTTCAATGAGCTGAATTAATTCTATCAAGTGCGTTGAGTTGATTAACCCTCGAGCCTCTTACTGCGGCTGTGTGACCGGATGATGTTTATCTGTTGTGTTCAGGAACACGACGTGGAGACGGCCCATGGTGTGCTGCATGTCACCCTGAGGGGGGTTGCTAAGGGCAACCGACCCACAATCCTCACCTACCATGACATCGGACTCAACCGTGAGTGAATGACCACATGGACAGACCACAGACGTACACAAGAGACACAACGACTTAACACATCACAGTGTGTGTGTGTGTGTGTGTGTGTGTGTGCGTGTGTGTGCGTGCGTGCGTGCGTGCGTGTAGATAAGTCTTGTTTCAACAGCCTGTTTAACTACGAGGACATGCAGGAAGTGACGCAGCATTTCTCAGTCCTTCATGTTGATGCTCCAGGACAGCAGGAGAACGCTCCTGTGTTCCCCACCGGGTAACATAGACACACCTACATCTACACACACACACACACACACACACACACACACACATTAATGGGTTCCCTAGCTTCCAACGTTATTTATAATTTTGTTTCTACATCAGAACAAATTTGATCGACAGTCCATCGACCAACAAGAATCGAGTTATCAGTTAACTGACCTGATCAGGGGAAGGAGACCTGTCAATCAGTGTGTAGCCCCGCCCTAAAGCGTCCCCTCTTTATGGTCTGTTTGACTCTAAATGGACCATAATCTACTAAATGAACATCATCTGTATTGAAGAAGACTTGAAACTAGAGACTGAGACCATAAACTCATGTTTACAACGTTTACTGAGGGAATAAATCAAGAGGGAAGTAGAGTAATTTCCTCATAGACGTCTATGGGAGCAGAGGAGTCGCCCCCTGCTGGTCACTACAGAGAAGTAGAGTCATTTCCTCATAGACGTCTATGGGAGCAGAGGAGTCGCCCCCTGCTGGTCACTACAGAGAAGTAGAGTCATTTCCTCATAGACGTCTATGGGAGCAGAGGAGTCGCCCCCTGCTGGTCACTACAGAGAAGTAGAGTCATTTCCTCATAGACGTCTATGGGAGCAGAGGAGTCGCCCCCTGCTGGTCACTACACAGAATGCAGTATTAAGGCCGCCTGGTTGCTTCCTGATCTTAGTTCAGAGTTTGGGGTTAATGATCATGATAGCAGATAGGACTTTGATAGTTTAGATGTTTTGTTCTTAGCTATGCTCACAAATTATTCATTTTGCATTAATATAAAGCTCAGATGAATTAGAGTCAAGATGCTGGAGTATTTAAATGTGTGTGTGTGTGTGACTATAGGTACCAGTACCCCACCATGGATGAGCTGGCTGAGATGCTGCCGTCGGTCCTGAAACAGCTTCAGTGAGTCCGGCGTCATCTTTGTGGTGCATGATGGGTATTTTAGTAGAAACCGCTTTCAGTTAACCCTATTGTGTGTGTGTGTTCAGGGTGAAGAGTGTGATTGGTATCGGTGTTGGAGCTGGAGCCTACGTCCTCACCAAACTGTCTGTGAGTATTTGCCTCCATCGCTTTAGTCAACGTTTGTTCTTATTTCATGTCCTAATGTTCTAAACGAGTACGACTGTTGTGTTTCAGCTGAATGAGCCCACTCTGGTGGAGGGTTTGGTTCTGATCGACATTGACCCCTGTGCTAAAGGCTGGATGGACTGGGCCACCTCCAAGGTGTCTCTCACACACACACACACACACACACACACACACACACAGACCCTGCTAACAGATAGAAATGGTCTGAACTCAAGGTCCATCTACTTGGTTTCTGCGGGACATTTAACGTCATCTCATAGCCGTGATGAGTGATGTCATCTGGTCAAATGTCCGTTTACTAAAATAGATGAAAGCAGTTGAACTTTTGGTCATAGTAGAAGCAGTTGGACCCGTCCGTCGATGAAGTGTCACATTGAAATGTTCCCTGTCATCTCCTGCAGCTCAGCGGCTGGACGAGCAACCTGGTCGACTTGATCATGGGGCACCACTTCAGCACTGTGAGGACAAACGCCACAGCTTCATGAAAGCGGTTGATCGATCTCAGCCGGACCCTGAACTCTGTGCGTTTGTGTGCAGGACGAGCTGACTGAGAACCAGGAGATCGTCCAGACATACAGACTCCACATCTCTCAGGATGTACCGCTGGACAACCTGGCCATGTTCTACAACAGCTACAGCAGGTAGGAGACCAGAGGGGCAGCAGGGTTCTCTTGAACCTGCCTCTATTTTAGGCTACGAAATAGTGAGGATAACGGTGCATCGGCCCCTCAGGTTCTGCAGAGTCAAGTCAGAGCTTCATAAGATGAAGCTGCGTTGTCTGTAGTGACCAGCAGGGGGCGACTCCTCTGCTCCCATAGACGTCTATGAGAAAATGACAGTAAATTATGGCCCATTTAGAGTCAAACAGACCATAAAGCAGAGAATGCTTTAGGGCGGGGCTACACCCTGATTGACAGGTCCTCTGTACATTTTGTTTGATTTGTGTTAAACTAGATGACTCTCTTACATCACATCACATGTCATTTATCTGACGCTTTTATCCAAAGCGACTTACAATAAGAACATTTCTACCACAAGGAAACAAACTCAGAAGAACAAGAAACAAGGAAAGTCCAGGTTGAAAAATACCAAAGTTATCTTTGAAGTAGGACTTGACATAATACCAATAGTACAATAATGCCAATGCTGCAACAACAAGTTAGAATGGTTCGTATCGACTTGGTTATTGAACTCTGTTTGTGTGTCTGTGTGTGTGTGTGTGTGTGTGTCAGTCGAACTGAGCTGCAGATTGAGCGGCCTATCCCTGGTCTCAATGAAAGCACCGTCACCACGCTCCGGTAACCAGCTTCATTCCTCCCTCCTTTTTCAACAATGAAACGTCCAGCGACACAGTAACTGACTGTGTGTGTGTGTGTGTGTGTCAGGTGTCCCTCTCTACTGGTGGTTGGAGACACGTCGCCTTCTGTCGATGTCGTGGTGGGTATCTGCCCTGTTTCCATGACAACAGCCAGTATGTGACACCGCATTGTTCTAAATACAGTGCGCGTGTGTGTGTGTGCGTGTGTGTGTGTGTGTGTGTGTGTGTGTGTGTGTGTGTGCGCTTCTCTCCCTTGCAGGTTGAGTGTAACTCCAGACTGAACCCAACCAAGACCACCCTGCTCAAGGTACCTGTCTCCCTGTCCGTCTCCCTGTCCGTCTCCCTGTCTGTCTGACTGAAAATACGTAAATAGGAAGACAACGCACCTGCCAGTGCTGTTAGTGGTTTGTCTCTCCTGTACAGGTGTTGTCTGACATGGGGGGGGGGGGGGCGTGGCCTCTGTTCTGCTTGCGTTCTCACCTCATGTCCTTCTTTGTCCCTCCGCTAGATGGCGGACTGTGGAGGACTTCCTCAGGTGGTGCAGGTAAGTCTGACCAGTTTTTACACTTTTGAGGCCCCAGTTTGGTTCAAACCTTCTAGTTTCCATGACGACGCGCTCCAGACGTCCCCACGGAAAGCAGCGCGGGACGTTGGACCCGTCACTCAGTCATGGTGTTTTTTAAAGTTAATTTTAATTTGTTTGTGTTTCTTTCCTCAGCCGGGAAAACTAGCGGAGGCCTTTAAGTATTTTGTCCAGGGGATGGGCTACAGTGAGTATCCTCTCTGGCACACGCGTGTGGCCCGAGGCAAGCCGTGATTTAGGAGGGATTGTGAGGTTTATTTACATTATTTTCATTCCTGGTTCAACAGCTGATCAGCGTCTCATTTGTCAAAACTTTTGACCTGGTTTTGACTTCATGAAAAACGGGTCTAAGATCATTGAAACAAAACCAAAGGGGAGGAGTTACAGAACATTTAATGACTGAAGCGTAGAATCAAAAGGTGTGTGTGTGTGTGTGTGTGCTGTTGATCAGCTGTTCACTAGCTTCCTGCAGTAACACTACCCAGCATGCCATGCTGCATGCCAACACCTCTGGGCTCAGTTCACACTACGTTTATAGTTTAGAGCTTCTCAGATGATGAAAAGGAACAATTCTATATATATTTAGGATATTTTCCTGAGTCTTCTATGACGTATCAAAGACTCTTTAATCTGTGTTTTTGTGAATGGAGTCTGGTTGCTTGAAGATTGATTCCCCACATGCTTAGGATGAGGTCAAAGTTCATGTGTGCACTTGAACATAAGTGAACAATTTGATTAATTAAGTCTAGAATACAGACTTACAAGGCCAAATAAGAGTTTCTGTTGGGGTCAGTTTGTGTTTAAAGATACTGATACTTTCAGGTGTCACATCGTTTCCCCCCTTCTGCTTCTCACGTGTTTTTACACGGTAAAAACACGGACGAGTACCAACCACACACACACACACACACACACACACACACACACACACATCTTTTCTGTCACTAACGCGTCATGTGCCCCCCCCCAGTGCCTACAGCTGGAATGACCCGGCTGGTCCGCTCCAGGACTCACTCGTCCTCCAGCATCGGCTCCTCGGATGGCGCCCGGAGCCGCGCCGCCACGCTGCCGGAGGGCGCTGCCGCCATCCCCGGCCTCACGGCCGACCACGCCATCAAGATGGCTGCGTAGGGCCCCTCCCCGCTCGCCCCCCCCCCCCCCCCCTCTCTCCTTCTCTTCTTTACAACATGTAACACCACATAAAGTTCAGTAGAGTCTTTAGCGACTCGCTGTCGGCCATCTTGGTTGCTTGGTAGATGTGACCGTACGTAGAGGTCAGCTGGGTCATATTTTCGTGCGGTTGTCGTATTTCTTCAGACCTTACCGGCTCTCTCCTGTTTACTCGTATTCTTCCTCTGGTTCCAATGGTTATTATTTATTATGCCGTTATGTTGGTGTTGCTGTGAAACTTTTTTTTGTACCCACGAAATAACAAACGATTCTCCTGCATCAAAGACGTTTTTTTATCCATTAATCCGCTTTTATGGCTTTGATAACCAATAATATTAATTACAGTCACACGAGGCAGAAATGTGCCACGACTTTGTGATCAGCACTGAAAGATCGAATTCAGTTTGATCCGTAACCTCTGGAGCCCCTAGTGGCCCGGATGAGTATTACACCAACAAAATAACCTAAGAAAACACTCCTGCGTCATAAACATCAGAGCAGAATGTGACTTTGTGGCTGTCGAGGCTTCGTACCCTCGGACGTGTTCACCAGTTATGAACAGATGTTTATTATCCGCGCTTCATTTAAAGATCTGAACGTCTTCCTCTGATGGCGCCCGTTGTCAGCTCGCCGTGACTTTTGGTACTTTACTGGACATGTGACTGCTCTGACCTTGAATGTCTCCCTCGGGTGTTTGTGCGGTTGCCTGAATGCGTATTGATTATCTGAAGAGCTCACACATCACTTTGTGTCACATCTGGCCCGTTAATCCGACTCGCTCTGAGTATTATTCATATAATTATATATTTATAGAGCTGGAAGAACAGCAGCCTTTCTTCTCAACAAACCGACATCCCAGTGATTCTTTTTTTCAGAGTATTAAACTCTTCTGCAGATAAAATGTTATGGATTAGAATTCCTGAAAACAACTTTAGTTCTTTGATCTTACATATTTACTGTAACTGTTACTGTTCATAATATTTATTAATACTTTTTGAGATTTGTACTGAAGTAGCTGTTTGTTGTTACAGGACTTTGAATGTAAACACTGTTTGTAATGAAATAAAGCTTCCTGAATAATCCTGAATATTCCGTTCATTTACTCTGGTAGTAGTAACAATACTCTCATGTACAAATACAGTGTTTGCCTCAGAATGCAGTTCTTCCCCTTAGAACAAACTGATCCTGGTTTTCTGATGATCCGTTTTATGGATACGGTCACTATGACAACCAACAAAAAACGAATCTGTGAAAAGACAATTTATTGTAGTTTTTGCTTCACCAGACAAACGCAAACCATCAGTTTGAAACAAGAGCAACAAGCATGAGTAACTAAATGTACAGGAGGCGGAGCTCGGAGCGCCGTCAGCTGGCAGCAGGGGGCGCCGTCTTACTGCAGAGCCGACCGAGCAGACCGGCCATCTGCAGCAGAGAGTTCACGCCTTCAGCCACACGCATGTGCGTGTACCCGATCTCCTGCAGGACAGACGTGGAGTAGCACGGCGTTAGCATGCAGAGTAGCACGGGATTAGCATAGCGGGGGCGGAGCTGTGCCTCACCTTGATGAAGTCCAGCTTGAGGTACTCGGCCATCTGGTAAGTCTTGCAGACCCTGAAGATGTTCCCGATGATGTCCTCCGGAGAGTAGCCCAGCGCCCACAGCTGCTCCACCACCTTGTATGCCTGGTCGATGTCGCCCTCCACGCAATGTCCCAGCATGCTTTTCACCAGCAGCGGGTGGGGCTCATCGCAACACTTTGGAATACGTTTTCCGCTGTTGACGTAGCCCAAAGGCCGGGAGTTGGTGGACTGCAGGTTGTTCAGAGCCTGGAGAGCAGCAGGGACAGAAAACAGGAAGTGAGACGAGAAGGACCGGGACTACGGGTGGTCAGTGAAGAAGGACCGGACCTAGAGGAAGTGAGTGGAAGAAGGACTGGGTCTACTAGGAAGTGAGTGGAGAAGGACCGCGTCTACAGGAAGTGAGTGGAGAAGGACCGCGTCTACAGGAAGTGAGTGAGTGGAGAAGGACCGCGTCTACAGGAAGTGAGTGGAAGAAGGACTGCGTCTACTAGGAGGTGAGTGGAGAAGGACCGGTTCTACAGGAGGTGAGTGGAGAAGGACCGCGTCTACAGGAAGTGAGTGGAGAAGGACCGCGTCTACAGGAAGTGAGTGGAGAAGGACCGCGTCTACAGGAGGTGAGTGGAGAAGGACCGCGTCTACAGGGAAGTGAGTGGAGAAGGACCGCGTCTACAGGAAGTGAGTGGAGAAGGACCGCGTCTACAGGAGGTGAGTGGAGAAGGACCGCGTCTACAGGAGGTGAGTGGAGAAGGACCGCGTCTACAGGAGGTGAGTGGAGAAGGACCGCGTCTACAGGAGGTGAGTGGAGAAGGACCGCGTCTACAGGAGGTGAGTGGAGAAGGACCGGATCTACAGGAAGTGAGTGGAGAAGGACCGCGTCTACAGGAAGTGAGTGGAGAAGGACCGCGTCTACAGGAGGTGAGTGGCGAAGGACCGGGTCTACAGGAAGTGAGTGGCGAAGGACCGCGTCTACAGGAAGTGAGTGGCGAAGGACCGCGTCTACAGGAGGTGAGTGGAGAAGGACCGCGTCTACAGGAAGTGAGTGGAGAAGGACCGGGTCTACAGGAAGTGAGTGGAGAAGGACCAGACCTACAGAAGGTCAGTGGAGAAGGACCGGGTCTACAGGAGGTCAGAGGAGAAGGACCCGGTCTACAAGTGGGTCGGCCTCACCTGTCTCATGTCTCCCTGCGCGGTGAAGATGACGGCCTCCAGCCCGTCGTCGGACACCGCCAGGCGCTCCTGCTCCACGACGTCCTGCAGCCTCGCCAGCACCTGGCCGTCCGTCAGCTTGGAGTAGCGCAGCACGGCGCAGCGCGACTGGATGGGTTCGATGATCTTGTCCGAGGCGTTGCAGGCCAGGGCGAAGCGTGTGGTCTTGGAGTAGATCTCCATGATCCTCCTCAGCGCCTGCTGGGCACCGTCCGTCATGCTGGGGGAGACATTCGGTGTCCTCAGAGGAACGACCACAGCGACGGTTGCGTCTGATGGTTTCCCCGATTTATGTATTCCTTCATACTTCCAGGACATCACTGCCATGACTTCTGAAATATTCATGTTTGTTTGGTCCCAGAGGCCTTCAAAGGGTCGGCGGTTCGATCCCCAAACTGTAAAAAGCTTTCGTACCTCAAAGACCCCATTTCCACGTTCTGTACGATTCAGCACATAAACCCCCGTCTCACCTGTCGGCTTCGTCCAGGATGACGATCTTGTGTCGTCCTTTGGGCAGCGTGACTTTCTGCTGAGCGAACATCTTGATCTTGTTCCTCACCACGTCGATCCCCCTGTAGAGGACCACAACAGGTCACGTGACACTCACCACAGCCAGCCGGTCACATGACGACCCGCTCTACTTCCTGGTGTGTTCCTCATTCAAAGGTCACCTCTCGTTGGAGGCGTTGAGCTCCAGCACGGCGTCCTTCATGGAGGCTCCCAGCAGCGCGCGGGCCAGGCACAGGATGCTGGTGGTCTTCCCTGTTCCTGGAGGACCTGGTTCACGGGGGCTCATCTTTACTACCACTGCTGCTTTCTACCATGTGCATCAATACTCTCAGCGCACTAACTTTAAAATGAGCAATTTGAGTCATTCAAGTATTTTTTTAAAGGAACAATGTACTTTGGGTTAAAATGGTTTCTTTTTGTCAGTTCAGCAGTTGTACTAAAATGAAAAATAAAAACGCATTTTCTGCCACTATAGTTGTACTTTTTACTGCGGTAACTGTACCTTTGAATATCAACTTTATTAATAGTAAAAATAAATAAAACCAACTAAGAAAACGCTGAGTAAGTACAAGGCATTTTACTAGAAACAGGTAATGTACACACATACTATGATGCTTGTAAATTAGATCATGGATCACATTAATAAAAGGAATAAACATCTATGAAAATGACAACGCCAATAAAATACTAGTCGATGTATTATCAGAAGCTACCAATAAAATACAATTACAGCCGGTAAACAAGCAACATTAAAATGATGAACACATCAATGATGACATTATATATATATATATACATAATTTTACTTCAGTGTACTTTGACATGTTTCTACTTTTAGTAGAAGTATTCCTACACGTGTGGTATTACTTAAATGAAGTAATTAAAGTACATGCGGGTCTGACCTGCGATGATGACGTTCGGCACGTTCCCCTCGCGTGCGAACACCTCGAGCCGGCTCACCGTCTCCTCGTTCCCGATGACGTCACTGAGCTTCAGCGGCCGGTACTTCTCCACCCAGGGCAGCTCGTGATGGCCACCGGAGCTCTTGGTTGAGGCCTCTTCAGCTCCCGCGTCGGCCATCTCCACCTCCGCCATGACACCTTCTGTTGTTCTGTCGGAAGCCAGCGCGCGAACTTTTTGCTCCGACTCCCTTAGCACCCACGTGACTGTTCGCCGAAGCCCCATTGGACGAGCGAAAAGCCCGACAACAACGTGGGAAAATCTCGCGATATTTAAAATTACGTTTATGATAAAGAAGTGTAATGACAGAATTATAAATATTTCAATAAATGTAACGGCAAATGAAATGACAGAATGATATATTATTAACCTTTCACAGTCACTTTCTGTTCGCTGGTGCACTTATATTTGTTTCTGTTTACACTTTATATTATTAGTGTTGCTTTATAAAGATCTGAATACTGCACTTCTTCCACATGCACGGTGGAAGTGTAAAGCAGTGTTAAATTCGAATATATGTCTGTTTTGAATGCATGCCTTTTGACTAAAGGACGCCCTCTAGTTTACATTTAATATGTAAAATGATCATTCGTTCATTTTGCACCATGAATGTACACATTATTAATATTGCCATTTATACATGTTTTCATGTATGTTTACGTTTTTTAAATGATTCAAATCATAACGGGTCCTTGATATAATTGATTCTAACCATGCATACACACCTTTTCTTTTTCTTTTCTTTCTCTTCTTACTACTACTATTTTTGTATTTGTGTTTACCAAAGATGTACACATTCTGACTAGTAATTGTAACTTACTAATTTAATTCAACCCCCGTGTATAATTTAATTATATTTCATATTATCATGCTTTCGTTTTTAAACATATCTGCAGACAGAAAACGCAGATACGGATGAAGCGCGCGGACGCCCCCAACCGGATGTCGTCATCGCCTAAGCGTGAACCACTTCCTACTTCCGCAAACACGGCTCCTTGTAGCTTCCCCGTATGTCGGTTTGACCAATGCCGTGGTCGACTGCTGCCTTTCGCCTCCTGGCTCTTTTTAGTAATTCCAACTGATCCGACATTTATGAGTGATTGATCCAACATCATGACGGCCAACAGCCGCTGTTCCGCTGCCGAGCCTCCGGGCCTGGAGACCCAGCGGCGGGAGATCGAGTCTCTGCTGCGGGAGTGTGAGCTCCGCGCTGGGGACAGTTGGTGAGAGTCCGCACACACGTACGGTGACAGGGCTAGCTGTTAGCATCACACGGCTAACGTTTCAACGGTTATTAACGGATTCCACGACCCAGTCGAGCCGTCCCGGTGTTGTTGTGAGATTGATGGGACCGTTTGACGGCTCGTCGTTTGACGTTAGCCGCCGCTGCTGCGTTAGCTCGTTCTTACCAGGCGGACGTTGGGACTGGCCGTTAGCCGTCGCTGCTAACGCTAACGTTAGCCTGTCAACCAGCCGGGATGACACGTTCATGGTTGGCTCGTAAGCTTCCACTTTTCCACAGAGCTAATTCCCAGTCTCAATGCATTTAGGTTTCACAGACGGCTATTCAGAACATTCTAGCATAATAAAACCAAATGACTCCACTACCAGTAAACGCTTTTAACGTCTAAAAGCAGAAGTGGAGGAAGACTACGAACGCGACTTCAAAGTAGAGTCGGAAGTGGAAACATGACGGGGCAGGTTTCCATTGTTTTGCCTCCATTTAGTTTTATTTTCTGTTCACTATCTGGACTTGTATATATCCCAGCGTTTAGCAGGACCCCTTAACGCATCAGGACATTGACTTTAGTGATGCTAGTAGACCGCGTTGGGTTTGCTGTGTGTGTGTTGGTATCATCTCGAAGTAGATTCAACACTTATTTCATGGTCTGACTCTTGGGCCTCTATCTATCTGTCTATCTATCTATATATATATATATATATATATATATATATATACATTGTTTGTTGGTTGGTTCACTGTGCTTAGAAAAAGACACTGGTTTTCATCCTTCGGTCTGACGTCTGAAGTGAGAGTGAACTATGTGGTGGTTTTTAATGGTTTGTTTTGGTCAAATGTTCGAACTTGCTTTATTCTGCATATGAGGGTTAACCTCTATGCCCTGATCAGCTGCTCATTAGAATAGTAAGCATCATGATTAATAAACCACAACCAACTACTGTTTCTAAATTCACACAGAAACATCAGTTTCTGGTTGATGTCAGAAACGAATCAAACTGCATCGTTGTATGAAGATTATGATAAAATGCTGCTCATTGATTTGTAACATGAACACATTTATTTTTATATCATTTTCATACCATACCACAAGAATGCTGACGTGAGTAGTTTAGTCCCACCTCTGTCAGTGAAGGCGTCGAGTGGTGATGACATCATCGCCAAGGCACTTTCGTTATTGATTCATCTTTTGTTCTTTCAAGAAAGTTAAACAACGTATTCTTTGAGCCGTGTGTGTGTGTGTTGTCCAAAGACAGATATTTAATCCAATTCAATTTCACTTTGATAAATGAATTATGAATAAAATGTTAACAAAGTTAACTTAGTTAAATATGTTTTTACATCTGTAGTTTAAAATAAATCACAGATTATGAGGAGTGGCAGTTGTGTGGTATTAATGTGTGTGTGTGTGTGTGTGTGTCTCGGCAGGTACGTGATGGAGCGGCGCTGGTATGAGCAGTGGAAGGAGTTTGTGGAGACGGGAGACCAGAACTCGTCTTCTTTTCCCGGTCAGATCAACAACGCTGAGCTGTTTAAGGGTCAGTGAACGCCTCGTGATGTCATCACCTGCGACACCCAATCGGCGCTCTTCCTTCTTCCCCTAAAAGCAGCACTTGACTGATCCGGTGGAGCCTGAAGAGGAGGCTCACCTCAGTCTGACGAATGACTTAAAGCTAAAGAGCATCTTTGTTTGTTGTTGTAGTACATGTTCTGTCCACAAGGGGCAGACGTTCACCTTTTAAACAAGACTTTCAGGTTTCACCCTAAAAGCAGATTAAAATATGTATTTGTAAATATGTATGTCCTTAAGAGACTGGAGTTGTGTTCAGAGAGCGCTGAGGGACACACACAGACGTACAACAATAAACAAACAACGCACTATTTCTATCAGACTCCCGACTCAAAGCTTTTCAGTGTTTAATGACCCGCTGCGTGTGTCTCAGACCTGGACTCGTTCCACCTGAAGGAGCGCCTGGTGGAGAACGAGGACTTCATGCTGGTGCCGGCCGACGCCTGGCACCGCCTGCTGGGCTGGTACGGCGCTGTGGAGGGGCAGCCGGCGCTGGAGCGCAAGGTGATGCCCACTGACGGCCGCCAGCCAATCAGAGCCCAGGGTGCTCCCCCAGTCCGACTCACCGCGTGTGTGTGTGTGTGTAGGTGGTGGACCTGCCCAGCACTCTGAAGGTGGAGGTCTACCCCGTCGAGATCTTCCTCTGCCTCCATAGCAACATGGAGAACGTCATAACGGCCCAGTTCAGCCGCACCGACAGCATACGTGAGTGTGTGAGTGTGTGTGTGTGTGTGTGTGTGTGTGAGAAGGTGAATTTTATATTGTCAGTAAACGTAGCTACGGAAATGAACTAAATAAATGACCATGTTGTTTTTTTTATGAATATAAAATCAATATCAGAGATGAATAATAATTGTTTAAGCTGATTGTTAAATTTGCGATGTGACGTCTCGCCGTAGTTTTCATCCAGAGGACGATGTGCGATGCCTTCAAGGTGCCTCCGGGATCAGAGTGCCGTCTGTGGATGAAGAGTTCTGACAGCAGCTGTGAGCGTCTGAGAAACGTGCACGTGAGCGTGCTGGACGCCTGTTTGAGCTCCGCCATGGTGAGGAGCTGCATCACATGATCACATGAGGAATAAGTTATATGAGCATCAATGCTTCTAGTAATAATCACAGCAGCTGATCCGCCTTGGAAACCAACCGTGTGTGTGTGTGTGTGTGTGTGTGTGTGTGGTCTCAGACGGTGATCATGGAGACGAGGAATGCAGACGGCACCTGGCCGAGCTCCAGGCCTCAGATCATGTAAGAAGATGCTTTTCTCCCTCATTGGTCTTTTCTACTCTTCACCCGAGATTGTCTCAATTGAATGCATTCATGTTTGCATATATGCGGTTTTTACATTGCGATGCATCCAGCTTCTGCTTTAGGAAATTGAGAGCATTACACCGTTATTGTGATGTGTTCACCTGTAAAATGAATCCAGATATTTTCTCATGAATATAACAGAGAGATGAGATGAACTCACTGGCTCATCACTTCATTAAACTGGTCTGAACCCTCAGGAGGAACTCGCTGGAGGATCAGGACTCGTACCGAGGACAGCCGGGGGTCTGTGGCCTCACCAACCTGGGCAACACCTGCTTCATGAACTCTGCTCTGCAGGTGACACACACACACACACACACACACACACACACACACACACACGTACGTGATATTTATAACATTTAAACTTCTAGTTGTGTTTATTTCCCTCTGCCATTGTTGCCTGTTGCTGAGGTGTAATTGAGGGATATTTAGCTCCCACAAGAATGGAGAAGTCTGCTCTGATGCATTCTGGGTAAATGGGCGGGGCGAGTGACATCCGGGTATTCTGACCGTTCTTGGCGAGATGCACGAGTCCAGACAAGAACACATGTTTAGAACCTGTCGGGTCCACTGGGCGTCGCCTTAACCCCTCCCCCCCCTCCTTAGTGTCTGAGCAACACGCCTCCTCTGACGGAGTACTTCCTGCTGAGCTCCTACCTGGAGGAGCTGAACTTCACCAACCCGCTGGGCATGAAGGGCGAGATCGCCGAGGCCTACGCCGACGTCATCAAGCAGATGTGGTCCGGGAGGCATTGCTCGGTGGTGCCGCGCGTCTTCAAGGTAACCGGTTTAACCAGATCCCAGCTCCTCCGTGAGACTATGACGCCATGACGGATTCCTCATGTGACCATAAGTCAAACTGAGTGAACCTGTGCGAGACGTCGGAACGTTAACAAATTACCAGTCAATAAAACCGGCGCAAAACTACACAGATCTGCCGCGTCAGCAGCTTCCTGACGTGTAGATCGGCTTCGCCGCGCTCTGCTTCCCTCGTGGCGTGCGATGAAGGAATCCGAGGCGCGCATAGCAGCGGCGCTAACGGCTAGAGTGGGGTGTCGAGTGACCCG